ATAAGTACTTATGGAACATATTCTCAAATAAACACTTCTTGGACATATCTCGAAAATTATGAATGAATTTTGATTGTCAATTGAAACATTAATCAATCTAATATTATTTAGAATGCAGAAAATAAGTTAAACTAACTTCATTTTGACGAGAATTTTTTTTTATTTTCATGAAAAATTTGCTGAAATGAGTGAAAATTTAAAAAAAACGGTGTATTTTCCAGGATAAAATCCGTACAATCCGTACAATTTGAAAACAAATCCGTACAATCCGTACAATTTTAGGGTTAAAAAAAAATCAATCCGTACAATCCGTACATTTTGGCCACCCTGCTTTTAGGGTCCGTGGAAAAAGATTACTTTTATTTCTTTTAACTTAAACATATGGCGAGAAGATCATAATTATAATGTTGATCACGCTCAGTATTTTTGTGAACAATCTTTTTAATGAAATTATTATGGATTGCACATGGAATACTTGATATACTTACTTGAACTGTGCAGCTGCCCCTGACTGTAGATCAGACTCTATATTCCCAGGATCCAAGTATGCAATAGACATCAGAAACCCCGGTCCTTAATTAGATAAATATTGGGAACCCCGAGTCATTTATTATGTAATTTTATACAAAAAAACTGGTCCCTGATAAGATTATTAAATATAAGAAACTCTGGTTCTTGAAAGGATAATTTTTTATCAGAAATCCAAGTCCTTGATTAATTAATTATAAATAAAAACCCCAGTCCTTAATTAGATAATAGACATCAGAAAGCCAGGTTCTTAATTAGATAATAGACATCAGAAACCCAGGTACAAAATTAGATAATAGACATCAGAAACCCAGGTTTTTAATTAGATAATAGACATCAGAACCCCAGGTTCTCAATTAGATAAATTTATTTTTACTGCGGAATTTAAACTTAAACGCTTCTTCATTCTAACTGTACTGTACAAGGTGTATATATTCTGCCAAATGTGTATTTTCTATAAATTATCACCTCCCCCGTTCTCAAATATTGTTTTTGTTTATTGTCAAATTTAAACATTTTGAAGGAAAATGATAGACGAAGATAAATAAATAAATTAATAGAAGGGATTCGTGGTAAAAAAAAAACTATTTTTGTAACAAAACAATATCCTATGAATAATCTTAAAAATGAGGCAGAATTTATACCCCAGGAAGGTTTCAAGCTTCACAGTTTCTAACTTCTTGGCATAATTATTCAAACTGTCCGGGTGTATGGACAATTTAGTTGACAACTCAAACCACAATGATAACAGAAATTATATTTATTTAGGATAACCAAAGTTTAAATATTGAAAAAGATGACATTTTTATTTTTTTAAACTTCATCCCGGGGTTTATTAATATTAAACCACCTCATTAAAAATAGCACTATTCAATACAGATTTTAAGATCATTTTAGAAAGTAATTTAAGAGTATGGTTCCTATAATAGTTGTAGAGCCATAGTTTGACCTGCGAACATATGGTTCCTGGAAAATATTAAAATTAAACATTTTTTAAAAGTTTGACGCTTCAATCACCAGTTCATCGATGAGACGCATTATTTGAGTTCTATTAAAAATGTATAACTTGAGAGCTTATCATTTTCCAGTTTTGAGAATCTGTAATCTGCTAAAAAATTAGTTCAGAAACTTAATTATTCTCTAGCTCTAGTACCAAATTCCTGTATTTTATTCCTATTTTCTTTTCTCAATTTCAAAATGGAATATACATTGACCAGCCAAGTCTAGACTATACGTACCTGTCGCTTGACCTCTCATACCCCCCCCCCCTTTCCTTTTAATTTTACTTTAAATTTTACTTTAAATTAATTTGTGTTTTTTTTTAAAGTCCGTAAAGCAAAAGCTACGATTTTGTCATCGATCCAATTAATCTTTACATTTGCCCAGTATGCTTAAGACTCCATTTATTTTGTTGCATATTTGATTATTTTTCTATATTTGAGTGCGCGTCTAGCGGTCATAGCAGATTCACATTGCTGTATAATTTATGTCGAAAAATCGTATTTTTGATTTAATTAGTTCGTATGTTTTCATACTTGTATTTTCGATTAATTAAGTTTATAAGAAGAAAAATGTATGAACTTCAAAAAATTTCTATTGTTTAAAGTATTTAAAGGGTCCATTGACAATATTTTAAGTAACCTTTCATTAAGTAAGTTTCATTCCCCTTTAAAATTTCACAACAGTATCTTTTTGATCCTTTTTTCTGAGTAATTATAAGTAAAATATCGTCAATTTTCTGTATGAAAATTGATACTTTTTAATCGCGTTTACATGCAAACGAGACAACCTATGTAAATAGAGAGAATTCAAGATAGAAAGATATCATTTCATTCTCCGAAAATTAAGCTTAAAGGTTAATTCATGTAAATATCTAAATGGAAGGCTTAATTAACGTCGATCGATAGTCCCTTGAAGAATATCAGTTTGATTTGAACCTGTGGATCGGAGGGTTGTAGAATCTTTGTGGTAGAAGTATCCAGGTTCTCTGTGTCGTCACCATCATTCGAATGAACGGAGAAATGTTCATCCTCGGATTCATCGTCAACTAGATGGATCTTATCAGACATTTTTAAGTTCTGGAATCATTTCCATTCATTAGAGATTTAAGTACAGACGCATCATAGATGTATAGGGAGTGTAGGTCAGCTGAAAAATCAATCCGTCCAAAAACTAAACCAGGCTCCTGGCTCATAAATGGTTTTTGTTCCTTCTCTTACCCAACACATTTTATTAGAGTTAATATTACAGAGAAACGTCCTTCTTACGAAATTCTTTGTTTTCTGACTTTACAATTTCAACAGTTAAGCACAATAAAATCATAATGTAATTAAATATGTTATTATAAGATTCATGTGCAAACTAGAAAGGAGGGGGGGGGGGGGTGTTCAAAAAACTGGTAATTTCCTAGAGAACGATTTTCTGACCCCCCCCCCTTCCCTCTTATCAATTTGGTACATGGATCTCATAACACATGGCTATAATTAGTCATTTGGCCTAAGCGCCCGGCCCCATAGCCTGTCCTAGCGCGGCGCTCGGCCCCCTAGCCCGTACTAGCCACAGCGCTTGGCCCATAAATAGTCTTAACCTAACCTAACCCAAGAATGATACAAAATAAATAATAACAATTTTGCTGAAAATTAGTCATGATCAAATTAACTAAATTCTTGAAGCGCATACTATCTACAGGATAGATTGTAACATTTAGAAAATATGAATCGTTAAAACTTCAAACCAATGATCACGTAATAAAATGTCATCTCTTGCTTAACCAATTCCTGAAGTATTTACGACCCATTGCTGAAAATAACCATCGTCAATTCTTTGCAGAACACAAAAATATGTACTACATCGCTTTAGTTGTGATCAGAAATGTTGGTGCCGATTGTAACATGGAACTGAATCAGCTGTTTATGAATTCATAACACACACAGCGGACCAATTCGGGGGGCAATTTTAAATTATGCACAGCGGTTCAAGTTTTCTTAATTAAACCATAATTAAACCAACTATTTAAAATTTAAATGCAGACAAATGTCAGATTTAGTTTGAACATGATTTTCTGTTTAAAAAATACAGAAGAAAAAATGATTTTATGATTGACATAACCGGGTCTACTTCCCCCCCTTCCCTTAACATCCTAATCTTGCCCCTCATTACTTTCCGTTGAAAACTGTCATAACTCCTAGTATTTTCTATTGATTTAATCTAAAAATAAATGCTTAAACAAATAATAAACTGTGTTCGTCAGAATTTTCTCTCCATTCTTAGCTCCCCAATATTATTTGCATGGGAACGCGTAGTTTTTTGTTTTCAAGGGAGCGGGGGAAGGCAGGCGGCCATGAGCCACAGCACTATTTCCCCTTCCGTGCCACATATTATCTTTTTTCTCTTCCGGCAGCCATGAGCGACCACTATTTCCCCTTCCGTACCATTATTAGTTAATGAGTGATTTAAAGATGGATTCAGTATGAGTCAGTAATTGAATAATCATTATGACTTTGTGATATTTCAAGATGCAATACTCAGTCAAATTTGTCAAAAATTTCATTGTAAAACAGTTTAAGAATTCAACACACAAAATATTAATCTTACGTAGAACTGAAAAAATGGTTTGAGTTGTGCTTTTTTGCGTGACGCGGCTGGATTATTTAAAATCACACTTTAAAGGCCCTAAATTAAAATATACCATTTAAAAAAGTAGTTTTGCCCGGAAGAGTCAAATGTGGTGGTACGGAAGGGGAATTAGTGGTGGTTCATGGCTGCCGGAAGAGAAAAAAGCTAATATGTGGCACAGAAGAGGAAATAGTGGTGGCTCATGGCCGCCTGCCTTCCCCCGCTCTTAAGGGTCGGGGAAGAATTTTCCATTGTTTTATGGTTCACCTTTCAGGCGCAAACACATGATTTTACCCAGGGGGGGGGGCGGCAAAATGTTTGCGTTAAGAATTTTTTTTGTCTATTATTTAAAGGTCTACCGCAGTGCTGAAAATGTTATCAGCATAGTTCTGAAAAAGTTACCAGAGCTTTACTGAAAATGTTACCAGCTATATAGAGTTATGAAAGTAGTTCTAAAAAAAGTAACGATAGCTTTATTGAAAATTTTACCAGAGATATACTGAAAATGTTACCAGCTGGATATTTTAAGGTTCTACTGCAGCTCGGGGTTTTTTAAACTTTGCCATCAATCTGTATTCTGTACATCCAGAGTTCCCAGCTCTGTACTTCATAAATTTAACCACAACTGTGCAAAGTGCTTCAAATATTACCAGCTCCTGTGCTTTATTAGTTAACATTTGTTTCGAAAAGTACCAGATCTTCGCTTCATAAGTCTCCAGCTCTCTATTTTAAAAGTTACTAATTAGGACAATTAGGACAGTGCTTCAAGAGTAAGTATACATTGCAGACAATACATTGCATAACCCTGCTTAACTCAAATTGTTTAATTTATGGGTTTGATATCATTTTTTGCACTGGATGATATGAGTTGATAGGAATCATTAGATGCATTTAAAGCTCTTAAAATCCATAAGAAATAGTTTTAACTTTACTTTGGTTGTCCATTGGGAATTGGCAACTTCAGGGTTTTCAGAAATCGTTTTGGACATTTCATTATTCAATGAATAGTGGATACCATGACAAGAAATCAGAACTGTCAAAAATTGTGTTGAAACTAAATTTTAAAAAAATCTTTTTACACACAGGGTGCCACAATATAAATGGGAATGCAATGACGACTTCTATAATATCGACTTTTTTACATGCGGGATTATTTCGTAAACTTAGTTTTGTAGTATATGCAGTTAAAACATTTAACACCGAAAACTAGTAATCTCGGGATTTACAAAATGTGGTCTACTATTTTTTCCCCTTTCAGTCCTTTTTGATACCTTTGTCATTTATCAATTATCGGAATTTAAAGACGATATTTAAGTCGTCTCTCAATTTCCATGTTTATTGGGACACCCTGTACCATCTTAATTTTTTACTTCTTTATTAACCAGAAATTTAGTTTCAAGCGTAGAGAAGATGTTTTTATTCTGTAAACAAATGTAAAACTATTTTTATCGAATTCATTAAAAAAAGAAAGATCAGCCAAAAAGAGGGCGATGTTAAATATTCAAAATTCATAGCCCCCACAAAAAGTATGAAAAGACAAATACGAAAAATTTATAAAACAATAAGATCCTTATCAAAACGTAAAACTCGATTGTCATTTTTTAAAGTTTCCTCAACGACTTCTTAACGTTTGGTTATTCTCTTTTTAAGTGTAATATACATATTTCTACAGAATATGAACTAAATAACGGCCTTGGCCTTTAAATTGTCTATATTTTAGAATACCCAATAAACCAACTAAATCGAGAGAAATCTTGATTTCACACCAATCTATAACTAGGTCAAATTCTTACGAAAATGCTGGTAGAACTTTGCAGCATCGTAATACTTATAACTCTGAATTTACTCTTGTGAGAGAAGTAACCTCTCTTGCTATGAATAGATTGTAAAACAAGACTAACAAAAATTTGCAGATTTTATAAAAAATCACTAATTTTCAAAAATCGAATTTTGACAGAAGTAAATTTTTTTTAAGTTCTATCATTCTTAAAACTTCCCTTGGGTCACGCGAGGTCCCACAAGAAATTTGAGCGTAATCGGTTCAGTTGTTTTGAAGTTTATTGGACACAAACGAACAAACAGCTAGACAAGCTAAGTATATATTTTTGTTTATAAAAAGACACTTCAAAAAATGCTTCGGCGCAGAACTTAATCTGGTAAATTTGGGCGGCTTAAGTCTTCCTACCCATGTACACCCTGAAATCATCTCTGGATTGTTCAGCAGATTGACCCATCCAACATCTCAGAACAAAACCCTTCAGCTTATAAATTAAAATTTCCCTTTCATATTTAACATTATAACTTTGTTTTACAGGATCTTATATTTTGATTTTGGTTTCAACAGTTACTCTTGACATTAATACCTAAAATGGCAAATATAAAAATTTGGCGAGTTATTGACTGAACTAAAGGCATAAAAATGCAGGGAGTTGTTGTAATGAGAGAAGCTTTTCTTCCATACATCAAATTTCAGAAAGAGGGCACCAAACCATTGCAGAAAGCTGCTGAGATCAGTACATTTATCATGTGCAGAATTTAGCTAGAGGCTATCGAAGCCCTACAGGAGGCAGCTGCTGTGCTTTATCAAATGCCTCCTGCAAGGCTTTTACACCCTCGAGCACCTTGAGGTGTAGCTGCAATCATGCACGTATCATCGTCTAATCTTCGGTTGAAATTATTCTCCACGCAAGATATTTTCATCTACTCTGACATTTTAGTTCATTCATGAAAGAAATTCCACAATATATAAAACCAAAACGATGCCAATTTTCAAATCTATAAAAATATATTTTGTTTGGTTTAAGGTAACTAATTACAAATATTTACACACTTTGCCTTTTTATAATATAGACTGTACCCTTTCTGAAGAAAAAAACGATTATTGGTTTCAGGACGAAAATCTTACTTAATTCTATAATTTAGATGTATTATAAGAATTAACGATCAAGAAACAAAAATTAACTTTAAACGTTAACAACCATTTGGTTGATTTTATAAGAATTAACGATCAAGAAACAAAAATTAACTTTAAACGTTAACAACCATTTGGTTGATTTAAGTGATTATACAAGATTGACGATAATAATGATAATAACCCATTAATTGATTTGAACCAGTGTACTCTAAAGAGCTATGAAAAATATAAAAGCGCTTTAGAAGATTTTGACTCTATTTTGATTAAAGCAAAATTACTCATTCTGTTCATTAAGAAGTTCACTGTTCACTGATCACAGGGCTTTGGTTCATAATTCATCATTTGCATTCATAAGATCTGTACCCCTCTCACTATTCTTCAAGTGTTTATATCTTTAAAGATTGAACTGAATCTTATAATTAGAAACTTTCAATATTTACAAGGTTGATTTTGTTGTATTTCTCTTAATAAAAGTTTGAAGAATATATAAGACAATATTCTGGTATTGTCTTACTTCACAGTCTTCATTCTACTCCATGAGATACTACATATATCCTGGAAACCTGATTTAGTCAGTTTTCTACACCCTATACAGGTTCAGTTCCTCCAGCATAGGGAGAGATATTCCATCCTTGATTCCCTTCACTGTTATATTAGTCCGGGATACGTCTAGAACTCTAAGTTTAGACTCAGAAACTCTTAAAACCTCTGTTAGTCCTTCATCTGTCAGATTAAAACACCAAGACAGGTTCAGTACATCAAGGTTAGGAAGAGAGTTTACTCCTTCCTCTACTCCAACCCCCGTAATGTTAGAACCAGATAGATCTAATTCTCTGAGATTACTCCCGTATCTGTTCAATATCTCAACCAGTCCTTGATCTGATAACGACCTCCAACCTGTCAGTATCAGCTTCTTTAGGTTATGAAGAGCGCTGGGGAGACGACCAATGTTATCTCATGTATTCCACATATTACGAATAGTAACAGATCTTAGATTAATATTGGAGAATATAGTCAACACGATATCCTCCTCATCCTCTCTACTCCTCACACCACACAACCCTATACTGATAGTTTCCATTTCCTCGTGTTCCTCCACCAAGTATTTGAACGCTGGACCACAACCAGGAGGACTAAGAGAAGGGATTTCCAATTCTAAAAAGAAACAGCTATTAAACATTTTATCAAGTATTACATTATTTAACAGAATAAAAATTGAGCCAAATATTTTTAGCCTGAAATAATAATGACCAAAACCACAGAATGAAAATTTTTGAGATTTCAAACTCCGAAATATTTTACATTTTATTTAAATTTTATAAGAATTTGATAAAATTTCCACATTTATTATTGATATTGTCTTCCTTTATCAAAAATATTATATTTTACATCAACAATATCTCTAAGAAAGAACTTAGATTTTACCCTTACATAAATTGGCAACATTTTATGAATCTAATTTTAACATATCCGGGAAAAGAACTGAGTTCTTATATCAAACTGAAAAATTGAGTTTCAGTTTAATCTTGTCACATAAAAAATGTACAGCGAGGCTTGCTTTTTATAGTGACATGTACAAATTTAAAAAAATCCAGCCCTTTATGAAATATTTTTTTAAATACAGGATTTCTGACAGTTAAAATCTTAGAAAAGAATTGAATTGGTATTTTTCGTCAAGCTTAATGCAATGTTGGAAATAGATTAATACAATGAAAGAACCTGTAAAATCTTTCCCTGGGATGTTTAGAAAGATGAAAATTTCCTTGTATGATAATTGAAGGACTGAAATATGGTTTTGGTGAATTACATTGACGTACAAAGCCTAGGGGTGTCAGAAATATTTTTTTTTGCATTTTTTTGAAAACGTCCCATAAACCTATAAAAGATTTATTTTGATAAAACTTTTTGTTCTGGGTGATTGCATATATTTATAGAAAACTTTCTTAAAGGAAAATAATTATTGATAATTATTGCTTTACGTCGAGTAGATATCCTTAAACATATCGATGTGAAACCTTTCAGAAAGTAGGAAGGATTCTGCAGAAAAACGTTGCCAAACCAAACAGAATTTTTATTTTGAACAAAATTATTTAGAACTTATATAGAAGCTTCTCTTGGTTGCACTTTACTCTAGTTTTGCTTTAATTTCATTTGTGTAAAACCGAATAAAAAGACGCCCGGATTCGGGATTTAAGTGAGGGTGGGGCAAGATTTTTTAGGAACAAAAAAAATCATAATTAGGACCAATAAAACGCGCTGCAGGTGACAATTTTTTTTGACTTAAAAGACTCAAAAAGAGTCAAAATTAATGATTAAAGACTAAAAAACTAGATTTTTAACCTTTTACACATTATAGTTTATGAAGACAGATATTTTTCAAATTCGATATCGTCTTTTTAAATAATTCTTAGATTTAGTGATACCTACTGTGAAAGCTGTGATCCATAAGATCCATAAGTATAAATTTGATTTATAATTAACTAATACAATATATAACACAACAAGAGTGAGCACATATTAAACTGTACACGAATATAATTAGAGATAACGGTCAGTTATAGTCTAGGTTATGTACACTGTTCACAATACAGTACACGCTACAGAACATGTACATTTGTACAATTAGGAGGAAAAAGTGTCAACCACAACATTTCATGAAATTCTAATCTAATATCACAATTATGTACAAATTCAAATTGTACAACGTCTGTACAACAAGAACCAGAGCTAAAAATGATATAAAATCAAATATTGAAGAATAAAATGGATAAAAATAATAATTGAGTATCTAAGCTTTGTGTTCTGATTAATGTAATTATAATCTTTCTTTTATCTGATTTCAAGATTGCAGTCAAACAAAACATATTAGTGTAACGTACATTGTACAGGATGATCGTACTGCACTCTGTACAGATCTCAATCTTCCTGGTTCAGTTTCCCCAAATATAGAATTATCTTTCTTGATTCAGTTCCTCAAAATATAGAATTATCTCCTGGTTCAGTTCCTCAAGATATAGAATTATCTCCTGGTTCAGTTCCTCAAAATATAGAATTATCTCCTGGTTCAGTTTCTCCAAAATATAGAATTATCTCTCTGGTTCAGTTTCTCCAAATTTAAAATTATCTCCTGGTTCAGTTTCTCTAAATATATAGAATTATCTTACTGGTTCAGTTTCTCCATATATAGAATTATCTCACAGGTCCAGTTTCTCCAAATATAGAATTATCTCCTGGGTTTAGTTTCTCCAAATATAGAATTAACTCCTGGTTCATTTTCTCCAAATACAAAATTATCTTTCTGGTTCAGTTTCTCCAAATATGGAATCATCTCCCAGGTTCAGTTTCTCCAAGTATTGATATTTTCCAGGTTTTTTTCTCCACATATAGAAGTATCTCCCAGGTTCAGTTTCTCCAAATATTAAAATATCTTCCAAGGTTCAGTTTCTCCAAATATAGAATTATCCTTCAAGGTTCAGACTCTCAAAATATAGAATTAGTTTCCAGGTTCAGTTTCTCCAAATATATGATTATCTTCCTGGTTCAATTTCTCCAAATGTGGAATTATCTTTTAGGTTCAGTTTCTCCAAATGTAGAATTTTTTCCAGGTTCAGTTTCTCCAAGTATAAAATTATCTCCCAGGTTCAGTTTCTCTCAATAAAGAAATATCTTTTAGGTTCAGTTTTTCAAAATAAAGATTTAACTCCCGGGTTCAGTTTCTCCAAATATTAAATTATCTCCCAGGTTCAGTTTCTCTAAATATAGAATTATTTTCCAAGATTCAGTTTCTTCAAATATAGAATTGTCTTCAATTTCTGGTATCCGTGTTCTGGTATCCGTATTCTGGTATCCGTATTCTGGTATCCGTATTCTGAAATGATAGAACAAAATCACGAATAAGAGTGGATGTAGTAAACGAACTTAAATCTTAAGCAACACAAACCTCTTCTCAATAAAACAATCAAAAGTTGGTAAATACAAGAATTACAAGATAAATACGACAAGAGTAAATATTCACTGTATTTATATTATCATCAGATATCAACCTTAAAAAGGCCTGAAATATGTTAAAAATAACATTTTTGTTGTTGTTGACAAATAAAAACATGTGACAACTGATTTTAATATTTACTTATCAATGACATAATGACATTTCAGAAATGTAACTTTTATATATTTTAATATCATCAGGAGGGTTTAAAATGAAAGTGTTTGAAAAATGTATTTTAATATTCAATTCATATTTTTTAGACATTCCTCTGAGTCATGAACAGACTTCCACTGTTCCCTCTCGGAGTAATTCTGCTCTCCCTCAGAGAAGTTCTGTTCTACCTCAGGGGAGTTCTGTTCTACCTCAGATGAGTTCTGTTCTCCTACAGAGGAGTTCTGATATACCTCAGAGTAGCTCTTTTCCTCCTGAGCCAGGTATTACTAGAAATTCATTAAAACGTTTGTTGAATAGTAAACAATTTTAATCCCGTATTTTTACTCACAATTTCATGATTTTGGGTATAAGCGTGCATAAATATATCTTAGTATTTTTCTTCTTTATTTTTTTGACAATTAAAATTTGACAATTTTGCTAATTTTAGACATAGCAATTTTTTTTGTTTCAGCCAACAACAAGAGAAAATTTGAAGAACAGACAACAGAAGATTTTTACACCTCTAGCTTTGAAGAAATTCCAGAAAATGGATTAATTGCTGACGCAATTATCCAGCAATACAAAAAAGAAGAATTAATGAAAAGTACAGCTTTGAGTTGATGAAATTTTCTCTAACTCTTCAAGGATATTCAAGAAAAGCTTACAACTATGTCAGAGAGACCAATTCTGGAATCAGGCACAAAAATACTAAGCTAATACTGTTTAAAAATGATTTACTTTTAAATTATCCATTTTAAATAGTTAATGAAATAAATAATTGTACAAAATTTGATATTTTTTTGGCCATTAAAAGTTTGGTAATTTCTTGTAGAAGAAACTACAACTTACAAGAGAAAAGAGTTAAGTTTTTATAAACAAGGTTTAAAATTTGAATGGACAGGCTTGTTGGCCAAGCGCTGTGGCCACCTTAATGTGCACATTTTATTAAGTACATTGTAGTACCCTGTACCCTGAAGCACTCTGTATACCCTGTTACCATCACTTTCCATAAATAGATTTGGGACTTACAAATTGGTATTTTTGCCATTCCTCCCTTCAATGAATCATCAGCTGTTAAGTTTTAAACCATATCAACAGAATCTCTTCTTTACTGTTATACACAAATGAAAATAATGCAAAACTAGTGTAAAATGCAACCCAGAAAAGCTTCTATATAAGTTCTAAATATTTTTGTTCAAAATAAAAATTCTGATTGGTTTGGCAAATTTTTTTTGCAGAATCTTTGCTACTTTCTGAAAGGTTTTACATCGGTGTTTAAGGATATCTACTCTATAAAAAGCAATATTTATCAATAATTATTTTGACTCAAACTCTTAACTAAATGAATGTAAAAAAATATGCCGGTTTCAGAAAGTTTTAGATAGGTATTTGCAATCATCCAGAACCAAAAGTTTTACAGAAGTTTTTAATGGACAAAAAAATCATTTCTGACACCCTAGGCTTAGTACGCCAATATAATTTACCAAAACCATACTGCAGTCCTTCAATTATCATACAGGGAAATTTTCATCTTTCTAAACATTCTAGGGAACGATTTTACAGGTTCTTTGCCCTTGACAATGGAGGAGTTACTTAAACTTTTATCATACCATTTTTAACCGGTTTGGAACTTAGTAAAGCTTGTCATATTTGAAATAGTTGTTACCTTGAATGATACTAATATCTGCTACTGTTCTCAGCTTGTTCTTATCTACTTCATCACATATCTTCCAAACCTTGAAGATGCTCTCCAGCTCATTTATCTGACTCAGCAAGGTTAAAACTCGTAGCTCTTAGGGAGATTTTATCCTTCTTAGGCAAAAACTAAAATATTAGAGTAACATGTTAAAATCCTAATTTTCAGTTTTTAAGAAACAATAATTCTATATTTTGTTCAAATATAAATACCTTGAGTAAGTGTCTCATATTATCATCGATCATATTCTTCAAGTCAGACATCTTGAGATAATAATAACTCTGAAATTAATAATTTCATGCCAAGAGGAACCATTTGGGAACAAAACTCGCGAAATAAAGGCATATTTACGCTAAATTCGCAAAAAGGAAGAAATTCGAAAGAAAAAAAGTTTAAAGTTTCAACAAAATTGATAGTTTTAAACATGTAAGCCTTACGACATTGGGCTGCACAGCTATAAGGGAATAGAAAATCTGACTTGTGGCAAAAACTCAATTCCAAGTTATTTACACGCTACAGAACATGTACATTTGTACAATTAGGAGAAAAAACTGTTAACCACAACATTTCATGAAATTCTAATCTAATATCACAATTATGTACAGATGTAAATTGTACAAAATCTGTACAAAAAGAACCAGAGCTAAAAATGATGTAAAATTAATTATTGAAGAAAAAAATGGATGAAAATAAATATTGAGTATCTAAGCTTTGTATTTTGATTAATGTAATTATAATCTTTCTTTTATCTGATTTCAAGAATGCAGTCAAACAAAACATATTAGTGTAACGTACATTGTACAGGATGATCGTACTGCACTCTGTACAGATCTCTATCTTCTTGGTTCAGTTTCCCCAAATATGTGACTATCTTCCTGGTTCTATTTCTCCTAATATAGAAATATCTTCCTGGTTCAGTTTCTCCCAATATAGAATTATCTCCCTGTTCAGTTTCCCCAAATATGAAACTATCTTCCTGGTTCAGTTTCTCCTTTTATAGAATCATCTTCCTTGGTTCAGTTTCTCCAAATAAAGAATTATCTTTCTTGGTTCAGCTTCTCCAAATATAGAATTATCTTCCAGGTTTAGTTTCTCCAAATATAGAATCATCTTCCTTGGTTCAGTTTCTCCAAATAAAGAATTATCTTTCTTGGTTCAGTTTCTCCAAATATAGAATTATCTTCCTGGTTCAGTTCCTCCAAATATAGAATTATCTTCCTTGTTTCAGTTCCTCCAAATATAGAACTATCTTCCTGGTTCAGTTTCTCCAAATATTGAACTATCTTCCTGGTTCAGTTTCTCCAAATAAAGAATTATCTTTCTTGGTTCAGTTTCTCCAAATATAGAATTATCTTCCTGGTTCAGTTCCTCCAAATATAGAATTATATTCCTGGTTCAGTTCCTCCAAATATGGAACTATCTTCCTGGTTCAGTTTCTCCAAATATGGAACTATCTTCCTGGTTCAGTTTCTCCAAATATAGAACTATCTTCCTGGTTCAGTTTCTCCAAATATAGAATCTTCCTGGTTCAGTTTCTCCAAATATGGAACTATCTTCCTGGTTCAGTTTCTCCAAATATGGAACTATCTTCCTGGTTCAGTTTCTCCAAATATAGAACTATCTTCCTGGTTCAGTTTCTCCAAATATAGAATCATCTTCCTTGGTTCAGTTTCTCCAAATAAACAATTGTCTTTCTTGGTTCATTTTCTCCAAATATAGAATTATCTTCCTGGTTCAGTTCCTCCAAATTTAGAATTATCTTCCTGGTTTAATTTCTCAAAGTATAGAATTATCTTCAGGTTCAGTTTCTCCAAATATAGAATTATCTTTCTGGTTCAGTTTCTCCAAATATTGATATCTTCCAGGTTTAGTTTCTCCAAATATGAAATTATCTTCCAGGTTTTTTTCTCCAAATGTAAGGTCCAGTTTCTCCAAATATAGAATTATCTTCCTGGTTCAGTTCCTCCAAATATAGAATTATCTTCCTGGTTCAGTTCCTCCAAATATGGAACTATCTTCCTGGTTCAGTTTCTCCAAATATAGAACTATCTTCCTGGTTCAGTTTCTCCTTATATAGAATCATCTTCCTTGGTTCAGTTTCTCCAAATAAAGAATTATAAGGTTCAGTTTCTCCAAATGTATAATTTTTTCCAGGTTCAGGTATGTTAGGTCCAGGATTATGATCTTGTATTCTCTCTATCTTCTATATCTACAAGGACATGGCTTGAGCTAGGAAATGTTTCAGCTCCTTGTAATGGGTTGCCTTGCTACCAGCGGGAGAAGAGGGTGCAGTTTCACGACCAATATACTGCAGTAACCTAAATACAAAAATATTATTCAAAAATATTAAACACGTGTCCGGAATTTTCCAGTCCAATTAAAATTTTGAATTCAAGAAAAAAATTCGTTTTTTGAAAAAAATATAAAAAAGGGTTACTCATGGGGTAATCAAGGGTTTCCTCAAAAATTCCGCCAGTTTGGTTTAGGCGTTTGGCCAGCTATAGCTTACATACTTACTTGATACTTGTGAAGTAATTCTCCATCTTCCAAATAGGAATATTGAGAATATCTTGATTTCTTCATGTGTGGTCTGCTATAGATCAGATGAAGCTTCAGTTTTTCTCAAATCAGCAGCCACTCCATTCTCAATGATTCTTATCATACAGTTGTTTAAACTGACCTGGATTTTTTGCATGTTTAAAATCATAGGGTAAAGTATTCCATAGGTCAATAACTCTGTTTGAGAAAAAATTCTTCCTTATCTCCAGTTTAGCAACAGGTTTAACAAGATTAAGACTGTCTTGATTTAACCTTGTGACTTGTTCTCTCAAACCAACAAATTTAAACCAGGTGTTCTTGTCAACATTGTCAAATCCATTGACTGTCTTAAATGTTTGAATCATGTCTGCTCTTTTTCTTCTATTCTCAAGTGTTTGAAGATTCAGCTCCTTGAGTTGTTCTTCATATGTTGATCCCTTTGTATACATATATTAGCGAAGAGCGTTATTATAAAGATTAAGGGTTGTGTGTTTGATTTAATAATTAGATTAGCATTGATCAGAAAAGAAAATCTAGCTTATTTTCGTAAATTATCATGAAAAGGTTTTCACAATGAGTTCTAAAAGTCTCTCCGTTCTGCAGTATTTAAAATTGAAATTCCTTTAGCAAAAAGTGTAGTGTAAATCTTGGATTATATTCATCCCATTATATGCGATACATTTTTACTCTAACCTCCGTAGATGAATTTTCATGTATTTTCAATGTCAATAGTGGGGCGCTTGATTCAAGACTTCAAGTAAGTAAACAAGTATCAAATGCCTCCTGCAAGGCTTTTACACCCTCCAGCACCTTGAGGTGTAGCTGCAATCATGCACGTATCATCGTCTAATCTCAGTTGAACTTATTCTCCACGCAAGATATTTTCATCTACTCTGACAATTTAATTCATTCTGAAAGAAATTCCACAATATAGCAAACCAAAACGATGCCAATTTTCAAATCTATAAAAATATATTTTGTTTGGTTTAAGGTAACTAATTACAAATATTTACACACTTTGCCTTTTAACGATATACAAATATTTACATACTTTGCCTTTTAACGATATACAAATATTTACATACTTTGCCTTTTAACGATATAGACTGCGCCCTTTCTGAAAAAAAAAACAGAAATTGGGGAATTCATAAGTTGCAGAAAAAAAACGATTATTGGTTTCAGGACGAAAATCTTACTTAATTCTATAATTTAGATGTATTATAAGAATTAACGATCAAGAAACAAAAATTAACTTTAAACGTTAACAACCATTTGGTTGATTTTATAAGAATTAACGATCAAGAAACAAAAATTAACTTTAAACGTTAACAACCATTTGGTTGATTTAAGTGATTATACAAGATTGACGATAATAATGATAATAACCCATTAATTTATTTGAACCAGTGTACTCTAAAAAGCTATGAAAAATATTTAAGCGCTTTAGAAGATTTTGACTCTATTTTAATTAAAGCAAAATTACTCATTCTGTTCATAAAGAAGTTCACTGTTCACTGATCACAGGGTTTTGGTTCATAATTCATCATTTTCATGTTCGGGGGAGTTTGGTTCCTGCTGCAGGGACGGAGTTGGAGAGGAGTAACCAGGCTTGTTCATGTTTTCAACCTTTTTTTTCCAGTATTCTCGCTGATATTCTAAAACCTCTAGTTTCATAGAATTGATGCTGTTCATCCAGTTTATTTTCTCCTAAACATTACATTTTAATTGGGCTCATAAGATCTGTTTGAAAAAAATATTCTTTTTTAAAAAAAAAATTCTCTAAAAACTTTGGAAGAAAACTTCTGAAGTTTTAAAGTAAAAATACACAAACCTTAAAGTATTTCTCCTCCCAATGTGCAGGTCCAAGTCCTATACTAGTATTTGAGCTGGGTCCAGCTGACTTGAGAGTCTGAATGTATCTAGCTTGAGAACCTTTAGTTGTGGTTGCCGAGGTCCTAGATCCACCAGAAGATAGTGAACGGGTAGGACGTGATGCTGATGCTTCAAATTTAGCGTCAATTACAGGTACATAGATAGAAGTGACGTTAGAACCTTCCGGCGCACCACAGGGTTCTATTCGATGCCTCTTTTCTTCATTTGTATTTGATTCAGGGATGTAATTATGGTCATAGCTAGTATCTCCATTTACACAGTTTAGACTTCCTTCATCAAATGATTCCTGCAAGAAAAACATTCGATCAAAAATAAATTTTAAGAAATCCCAGGGCAATGTGCACCCATTTTTATAAATAAATTACAGGATCGAAAATCCATGCAACAGCTTCTCATTTGAAAAGATTCAGAGATTTTTCAATTTTATTCATGAATTTACTAAAATCTAGAAATTTCTATTTTAATTCTTTAATTCTGACCAGCCGATTTATAAAAACAGCAAAACAACGTCTTGACGGTTATCGAAATTAAACAAACATGGACTCACTATATCCGCAAATCTTCTTTTCTTCTTCGCTTTCAAATCATTGTATTTTCTTCTAATTTGTTGATGATCCAGCCCAACTACGTTATTTTCAATAAAAATGTCGAGCACTTTATCCCAAGCACTGAAATAAAATTAAATTTAGAAAACATAATTTTATTTAAATAGTTGCATAAATTTCAGACAATTAAAATTGTGCCTTCCTTTGAAATAATCACATTAACCTTTTCTTAATCTTTTATCTGAGAGCATTTTCTTTATGTAAATTATTGGATAAAATTCTCCACAATACTGATAGAAATTTACTTTTATGAATTTTTTTGTAAATGGGACATCTTCTCAATCGCTGTTTAAGGAAACAAAAACAAAAACAAACAAACGAACAAACAATAGAAATACAAATAAAGAAATAAAAAATAAGCTTACTATTCTCTTGTCCAAATTTTGCTATCATTAATGAGGACGCTTTTGATATCCTGTGTTCCCTCCAGTTTACCGTGGACGATATCCAGGAGCAAATTCTCCTCCCACATCTCCCATCTCTTTCTTTCCTTTCCATATTTACGCTCTTTCATTCTGAAACAAGGAATTCTTAATATTATCTTTTCTAAATGGCATTTTGTTTTTAAACTTCTAACTAGCTGGATTTTAATTCCCCGACGCTAAATTTTCCCTTGTTCAACTCGAGTATCATTTACAAAGGGTCATGTTATAACAACAAAGTGTTTTGGACAGAAGATAAAAAAAAATTTTTAGAGTACGAATTAATTTTGTTTTTAAAACTAAATCCAATTGGAGGCAATTGCTAAAAGTTTAGTGTAGTCTGCTTTCTTTGGATTGGAATCCCTTTTCAGGATTGGACGGATCACGTTTGGAAGAGGAGCAGTGATCCTTGTTCCACTTGGATTCCCGTTTTCTTCAATCAGAACCACATTGTTACTGTCAAACCTAAAAAATAAAAAATCTAAGAAACTATCAATCATTTTTTTTTACAGAGGTCTTTTTATCTAACATGAAATGTAGTTAAATATTTATAACATTTCTGATATAATTTCTCAAGTATGACAGTATTAAACTTCTATACCCTTATGACTTTTCATAATTAAAAAAGAAAGAAGATATTCCAAGAATTAATGCAGTTAACAATTTGACCTCGGTATTCCATGCAATTGTTTTGCTTTTAATCCAACAATAATTCCCTTTTTCTTCTGTCCCATTACAGCACAAAGCACACGGTCACCTAGACATTTATTAGCATTATTTACGGTCACGCGGTCATTTATTAACCTAAAAAGAATGGATTTACAATACACAAGGCGTTCAAAATAAGTACAGTAAAGATCCGGGCTCTATTTAGAAGTCAGCGGCTTTAGATCTGTTTTGTAAAAAATAGATCCGGATTCGGATCCAATTAAAATTTTTTATAATTTACTCACAAAAAATTCCAAAAATGTCTTTTTTTTTGCTAGTTTTTATGTAGAATCACAGAAGCACTGATTTTTCTGATTGCTTACCTAGTTTACCCTGAGCCTCATGAGGTCTATGTTTATGTTTCTCTGAGTAAACCTGGATTATCATTGCTGGACGACCCATAGCTTGAGACTGAAAATATAAAAATAAATAACCGAAAATGTAAATAAAATAGCCAAGACAATTGAAAATTATAAAAAAAATGAAAATTAAATAACGAAAATAATAATGATAATAATAATAATAATAATATTTCAAATACCTGCCGACTAAGCGCCGAATTATCAACACATTTCATCGTGGATTGTTTCTGAACCCCGTAGGTGTTATAAAATATATTCGTTCGATGCCTAAATGAACAACAATAAAAATACTCAGGGGTAATAAGGTAAATATTACTAACATTGGACAATGCAAATTGTTTCTAAGTAATACATAACAATACTTCAGGGAAGGTTATCTAAACATTTAATTGATGGAAACAGCTGTGATATTCTCTATGAAATATTTAAGATTGATTTCTATGCTAAAAAAGACAGTATCTTGAGGGTTTAACTATGCCAAGTCCATTTATAGAGTTGCTGTCCAATTCACAACGGTACCCCTAAAAGCTTAGTCTAATCAATAATGCATGAGAACTAATCCATCATCTCGTTCATCATTTCTAAATTTGGTTTCTCTATCAAGTGACTTACAAACAATATGGAGGAAATCGGTCAAAATTAAAACTTTTCAAGTTAAAAAAACTATATCCTTCATGTTATTTAATTATTATTACAAACAATTATATAGGCTACTGTTGCGAATTGGCCATTTCACTCTTTAAATGGAAGGTCACGTGAAATTACAACGATACAACGATACAAAAATGTCCAGTCTTAAACGTGAAATATGATTAATTGTTCATTATTCTTACCTCCTGTGAGTGTAGTTATCCTTATAATTGGGCCAAACTGCTGCCGGTGGGAAAAATGGTAATCTCCACATTTTTTCATTTACACTCAAACCTGGAGATCAATTCTGACTTTAGAAAAACTAAATGTGGCAAAATAAAAAAACATTTAAAGCATTTTGCTCTTAAACCAGCACATTATAAACCTCCTAATCACTAAATAGTATTTAAATAATGTTTGCTCACTTTGCGAACAAAATAATAAGGAATAGTATCGTTCATACATGAAAAAGGGAGCTTTAAGTGATAATTATGAGCTAAATCTAGAGAAGGGTGCAGTAATCTTAGTTTATATTATTGTTTCGTTAAACTCCTACAATAATTAGTTAGAATTTAACTATCCTGTGGAAAAACCTCTGGTTTGAAGGCCAAGGACATTTTTTAATGAAAACATCTGAAAACTTAGCTTATAATTGTTTATTGTGTGTTGCAGTACAAATATATATTCTTATTTACATCATCCTTTAATCTCACAACCCTCTTCACGTCTATACCTGAAATAAAACTATTGTCAACCATGAAAATTACAGGGTAAGAAGAAAATTGACAAAAAGCAGGAAAACATTTCCTTCAAAGGACAGTGGCATGTGTGATTTAGAATTTAGAACGTGCGTTTCCTTTAAAGTTTTGTCTGATCAAGTAATTAGGTATCCATGTTTTTGTGCTTGAAAATTGTTCATTTGCATTTGTAGTTTCTCTGCAGAAGTGACTTGCGCATTTCTTGTTTCACGGAAACAGTGCTGAAATTATTCACACCAGAAAAACGACGTTATCTTCCACATAATTGATCAGATAAAGATCCCATGGATAACCTTGTGAATCGGACATGATCCTCTAAGAAAGGGGGGTCACTTAAACATTACGACGACAGTCTCTTTAATAAATACTCACCCTGTATTGGATAATGGTAACAAGCCACTCGTCCGCCTAACCGTAGAAATTCGACTTTACAATAAGGCAAATTACTTTTTGAGTCCAAAAGGGACAGTCAATGTGGAATTACAGCGATCTTATATTGATTTAAATTAAATTTAATTTCTAGTTTCAGTAAATATTGCAGCAAATTATCAACCACTTTTTACAATTTTCCGTTTTGAATATCATGGTTCATGAGTTAAAAAAGTTTAAACTTTGATTGTTTCTTTACTTCTTATTTGAACAATGTTGCTTAATTGCCTAGTTTTGGTTTTATCTGCTTAAGATGCCTGGGTACAAGGAAGGAAACTACAGCTGTCGCTGCGGCCAGATCAGTATCAAGTACATCCTCCTCTCTACAACAACATGTCATGTACATTGTACAGTTTACAAATGTACAGTGTGAACTGGCAAGATATTTAAGTATCCTCCTCTCTACAACAACATATCATGTACATTGTACAGTTTACAAATGTACAGCGTAAAGGTTTTTAAGGTCATGTACAAATGAATTGCGCGCACTTTCAATTTATCTGATAATTTTGGCCATAATGCACATTTCATGGTGGTACATTAGAGAACTACGTCAGGATCGGAGAAAACTGCCAAAATCAAAAGGAACCAGTTTTCTCTAGTTTCCAACATTATTTTAAGTCATACTGTACAAGTATACTCCTTGAACCAGTAACTATATATTGATTATAATGTACATTCCACAAGTGTACTGGGACAGAATGTGTACGGTGAGGTTATAATGAAAGTGTACTGTGTGTTCTCTATGAACTGTCAAGATGTTTTTAATCTTTGTCAGTTTGTTTTAATCTTTGTGAAGAAACAATNGTATGGGTTTACTTAGTTTCTATATTTACTCCTAGGCCACTAGCACCATATCTCTATAAATAGATTTATTGGCAATAGCAATAAGTTCTGGTTCTATATCTACTCCTAGGTCACTAGCACCATATCTCTATACATAGATTTATTAGCAATAGCAATAAGTTCTGGTTCTATATCTACTCCTAGGCCGCCAGCACCATATATCTTAAACACTTAGGTTTATTGGCAATATATTTAGATTTGTTAGCAATATATTTAAATTTCTTAGCAACCCATTAAGATTTGTTGGCAGTATATTCAGATTTGTTAGCGATATGATTAAATTTAATAGCAACACACTTAAAATCTTTACCAAAATATTTACATTTACTAGTAACATATTTAGATTTATAGGCAGCAAAAGAGATTTTAGCAAATAAATAGATTTACTAACAAAAGCATTAAATTTCTATCTAGATAATTGCAGAAAAATGTTATGAAGAGAAATATAATTTTGGGGGATTTCAAGAACAGACAAATTTCAAAAACTGGATAATTCTCATGTTTGTTTTAAACAAAATAAAATCTTAGGAATTCATCTAAAAATTTTGCATTTCTGCTTTAATACTTCTTAATTATTACCTTAGCAGCGGTGATGTTAATAGTTCCGTGCCCACATCCTAGATCCACTAGATAGTCAGTCTTACTACAGTAAATAGTTGATAGTTAGAACCACTAGATAGTCAGTTTTACTACAGTAAATAGTTGATAGTTAGATCCACTAGATAGTCAGTCTTACTGCAGTAAATAGTAATAGTTAGATCCACTAGATAGTCAGTCTTACTACAGTAAATAGTAATGGTTAGATCCACTAGATAGTCAGTCTTACTACAGTAACTATTTAATAGTTAGATCCACTAGATAGTCTTATTTAGTTAGGGTCTGACTACAATAGAGTAAGTTTTTAATTGCATTTTCTCAGCTTGTTTATTTGATATTAACTAGTAAAAACAATAAGAATAATACAATGAACATAGAAAACGAAGAGGAAATAAATATAAAGCATTAAACCTGATTTGAAGAGTATCAAGGATAAGATCAATAGCTTTCTGTGGAGTAGCAACAAACGGAGACAACGCGTGCAGATCTCCGTAGGGAACTGCGGTTTGTGTCTCTAAATGAGAAAAGAGGGTCAAACTTTCTAGAAAAANGGGGCAAACTCAGGTGCGAGTAAAAGGAACGTGAGTATCAACATTCATGAGAAATATTGCCGTTTTCCTTAATTAATTTAATGTAAATTTAATTTTAAAAATTCAGTCTAAACCTTAAGTATTCAAAACCTGACTGAAAAAAGTATGCCCAAGATAATCGAATAAAAACAAAATTAATATTTAGGGTTAGTTACAACTTAAAAAGTCGAAACACACACATAATGTTCACACATCTAAATAAATTCGATGGTTAATAAGAAAAACAAAATGAAAAAAACTTAAAATTAGAAGAAAATTAAATAGCTGGAGAATTTTGCAATAAAGCAAGTCCTAAAGAAATTTCTTTCTTTCAGTACAGCACACACCAAACTTGAATACCATGTAACAGTCGGTAGACAAAATCCACTGGCACATATTTCGATTCAATTCTTTCAACAAACCTCTGTACACATTATATATATCATTAACTTTTTATAGATTCAGTGGCAGGATAAAAAAATTATGATATTATGTAGTTCTGATTCAAGAAAAAACAAGGAATGAATTTACTAATATAAAACGGGCAACTATATTAAGTGTAAGAATAAAGTTAATATTTTGTCAGAAGCAATTACCAAAGCAACGGTTATTTAAGGGAAACATGATAAATATCTTCATTCATATTCATTCATATATTTATTCAACTACAAAGCATGAGATATTACAAATAGGCAGTCACAATTTACTATGCAGTTTTGACCCGCCTAACCAGGTTTGGTTGTTTTGAGTGGTTGGCCCGAAGTTAACTAACGATACTGAATATAATTGGTTACATATATCAAGATATGTTTTTGGATAGGTAAGGAGTTGATTGGAAGGAACGAGATTGTCAGGTGATCTGTGGCAGGGTGAGATCAGAGGGATTTTTATGTAGAGATAAATTAAAATACAGGGTGTTAATGATGGTAGTTACAGAAACAGAAATAAGTTAATAAAGTTTCAGTTAATTTAGTTTTTGTATAAAATTTATTCACACGATATACAGCTAGGTTTTTCGCTTTTAAACCTCTCATAATTCTCAGATAAATATTGATTACTCTTTGTTTAAATATTTTTGCAGATTTAGTTTCTTTAAGGTCAATTTCAATTTCATTCCACAATTTAGGAAACATTGCGGACGGAAAGCTTTCTTAATTTTTGTTTAAAATGCAGCATACATCTTAACCTAAACTAAACTTGAGAAATTTCGTCACGGATAATTTTTCTTTAAATAAAATCACAATGAATTTAAATTTAATATACCATAAGAAATTGAATGAAGCTGTTATTAATAATTTTAATTTATGTACTTTTACCAAAATATTTCCCAATTAAATCTTTATTTAGCCTAAAATATAAACATGAAAAAACCAACCTAGATCTTGGAAAGGCGCAGCCCATGCCGAGTCGCCTTCATTTTCAGACATTTTCATCCTGAAGAAATATCTATCTTTTAGACCCAAGTTAATAACTATTTATCACAGATTACACTTAACTTACATTAAATATAAATTACAAATATTATAGATATTTGAACACGTAGCTAGCTAGTTCCATCTTGTATTCATGTTTTAAAACAAACATTGTTTAAATACCGCTCAATATTTAGATATCTCTTATGAAGTCGTGATCTACCAAATCAATAATCTGTACAATTGACACTGTACAGTGTACATGCATTGTTTACAGATTAATATCAGTATGAATAGCGCAGAGGTTTCTGAAGAAAAAATAAATCAAAACGTCGATAAATAGAATTATACTTTAGCAATTGGCACAGCATTGAACTTTACAATTTTAAAATTAATTACAATACATTATATGATTATGGTAACAACATATTATCTAAAATACATACACAGTTTTAAGTTTGATTATAGTTACTAATGTTTTCTTTATAATTTTTACCAAACCTGGTAACAATAAAATTATAGATCATTATTAGTATTACAATTAATAAACAATTAACATATTATAATAGTATTACTTTGTACTCGTGTTTTAAATTAACATGTACTTTTGTTTTAGCAGACACTGGAAACAGATGAAAATAGAATTTTATCATTAATTTTAAAATTCAAGAACGGTCAATTATAAACCTGTATGGGTTTACTTACGTACATTGTTTATGAATTTAACTTATAGTTCTGTTTTGCAGAATGTAGATCGCCAAGAGTTTTCAACCGAAGAGATTCAATTCATTATTTTTTATTTTTTAAAAACTGTGTGAAATAAGGCGAAATCGAAGGAAAAATATGTTTGTATTCGTTATTATAAAGGTCTTTACGAGGTTAGTTTTTTTACCAAGGGAATTGGAACTTGATATCTCAGTCTTTGGGAGGTTTGAGGACTTTTCCAAAGGGGGTCAAGAAAAGTTTAGAGCTCACGGTGAGCGCGAGTCTTTATCCACGAGCCAGCGTGGAAGTGGAAAGCCTAATTTCTGCAATAGAGCTCTTAGATGATCGTTGTGAGGTTTATAATAGTTGAGCAACCAGGTTTCCGTCTCAGGGTCCATCTTAGGATACAGCCGGCCCTTTCCCTTCCCGAGGCACTGCAAGTTTTAAATTTCAAGAAAAACTTCTAAAAATATTTTTAGATTTCTTATTTACCTTTTTCTTTCCTTCCAAAACCTGGCAGTAGAAACCCTTTTTCTCGTCAAACACAAGCTTGTCCTTGTAATCGTAGAACGGGATCTCCAAGAAGTGCTGCAGCCTGTTGAGAACAGCTACGGGGGAACTACGCATTTCTTCACCATCAATAATATGCAGCTGTTTTGCCCTAAAATAATTGAGATCGGAGAAATTTTTAATGATTTTAGGGATCCGCATTTCTTCTTTCTTACTATTTGCTTCACAAATATCTCAATCATGCATCCACCGAACCCCCCCCCCCCCCCCCCCCCCCNCTCAGCTAGTTCTTGGTCCAGATAGTATCACCTAGATAATACAAGGTTAAGGACGGATTCTCAGCTAGCTCTTGGTCCAGACACTTAGATAATACAAGGTTAAGGACGAATTCTCAGCTCCAGGTCCAGCCAGGATCACCTAGATAATACAAGGTTAAGGACGGATTCTCAACTAGCTCTTGGTCCAGATAGGACCACCTAGATAATACAAGGTTAAGGACAATTCTCAGCTCCAGGTTCAGCTAGGATCACCTAGATAATACAAGGTTAAGGACGAATTCTCAGCTCTTGGTACAGCAAGGATCACCTAGATAATACAAGGTTAATGGCGGATTCCCCAGCTTCAGGTCCAGTTAGGATCACCTAGATAATTTAGGGTTAAGGGCGGATTCTCAGCTCCAGGTCTAACAAGGACCACCTACATAATTCAAGGTTAAGGGCGGATTCTCAGCTCCAGGTCTAACAAGGATCACCTAGATAATTCACGGTTAAGGTCGAATAATTATACTGCTAGTAAGTGGTTACTTCCTTGAAAGAATGAATATACTGCTGGTTAGTGGTTACTTCCTTGAAAGAATGAATATACTGCTGGTAAGTGGTTACCTCCTTGAAAGAATGATTATACTGCTGGTAAGTGGTTACCTCCTTGAAAGAATGAATATACTGCTGGTTAGTGGTTACCTCCTTGAAAGAATGAATATACTGCTGGTAAGTGGTTACCTCCTTGAAAGAATGAATATACTGCTGGTTAGTGGTTACCTCCTTGAAAGAATGATTATACTGCTGGTAAGTGGTTACCTCCTTGAAAGAATGAATATACTGCTTGTAAGTGGTTACCTCCTTGAAAGAAAGATTATACTGTTGGTAAGTGGTTACCTCCTTGAAAGAATGATTGATTGCTGTTGGATCTGAGTGTGCGCGTATATGCTGGTACCATGAGTACGCTCTCTTCTCTGGCGGAAGCAAAATGGCAACTAAAAATAACATTGTTGGCATGGTGCATGTCAAACATGGAGATATTCTCCCATTTTCCAGTTATTTTATAAACTACCATAATTCTACCAAAACAAAATTATGTGATTGGATTATCAAAAGCGTTATAATTTTTGTGAAAGCAAAAATAAGATGAAAGTGTAATTATTTTAGAAAATCCTTTTCTTCTTCGATCAGAGCTGAAAACTTTAGAATGAGATATCTTAATTACGATTACTTAATCTGAGTATCCAATGGCCAAACTTTTGAATTTCTTCTTAAACCGTTCTTTCTTGGATATAGAAGAGAAAAATAAAATACCGTTTTTTTTCTAAATTAAAAGAGTTCCCCTCATTTCTGTATATAATCTTAAATGGCGCGCAAAAATTCAAATTAGTCGGCTTTATATACGCGACTCTGATTGGTTGAACTTTATACGCTTTTCAGGATACAATCTCGATATCCATCATTCTAAAGTTTTCAGCTCAGTACACTTACAGATATTTAAAATATTGTCCATTTTACATAAGAGATATTTTTGTTCTACTTTAAAAACCATTTCTGAAAAATTTATGCAAGTTATTTTAAAGTAATTTTAAATTATGCAACTTTAAAATTTGCAAAAATACTTTTCTTAAATTAAAAACCCAGACAAATTCTAAAATTTGTTCTACCTATATTAGCGTCCGGTAGCAAACGATGCGCTCGCAGCGGTACAAACTCTCCATCAAAATAAGTTGCGGATTTTTCAAACAGAAAAACCGAGGTATTCCGGTCCGGGAAAAAATCTGTGTACCAATCCAAACCACGATTATAGTTCTTCACATTGAAGAACTGAACCTCCTCAAAGGTCTCGGGACTGGAAGCACTAGATACTAGGTTAGGGTGCATATTAAGGAAGGAGTGCAACGCCGTAGTACCAGACTTCTGTGGACCAATGATAAGGAAGTTGGGTAGCTTATTACAAGTTCGGTTGTCTGATAAAATCTCGAGATGTCGCTTATCAATGCATGGGTTTCCCCAAACTGCAGTTTTTTCCTCTGGAAACAGATTAAAATATTTCTCCGCTAGCTGGGTTGGTGGCAAGGTCCTCAAATCAAGGTTTGTATAACAGGAAATAAAATTAGCAACTGTCTCAAATGTGTACGGAGCCGTTCTGTCGCAGCAGTAGTTCGGCATATGGGTCATAAAGATGGATATAGGGTTGGTTAGGAATGTTTGAAACAACTCTCCGCCCTCAATAGAAGACTCAAGTTTATCCGGACCCCCAGGATAATCATCATAGAATAAATTCTTAGTGTAGAGGCCGCAGGTTTGTCTCGGAAGGACGGCTATCCCGGAGTGAATGAATCCACGTCTTCTCCGCGCAGGTTTCAGGTTCGGATATTCCTCCGTAGAGGTTACTTGAATGTTCCAAACCTGTTTCCAGGCCGAGTACAGTTGTTGATGTACAGGATAGACCCCACTGTGGTGCGGGGCAACACTGTACTGCCCTTCTACGGGAAGATTTTTTTCAGCAGCAAAATTCTTGTTAAGTTCCATTCTTGAAGTCAGATCTGATAGGTTGTTGAACCTAAATTTTATCAATTTGGATACATGGCATTATTTTCGTATTAATATACTAAATCATTCACAAGCAAGCCCATGATTCGGAAACCTGCTCAGATAATCAGTAATTGAAAAAACGTGTCTGGATAAGAATTAATTATAAAAACCGAACTAAGCAATTTATCAATCCTATAACGTCAAGCAGCCTTAACAATGAATTTATATTTTTTGTTGCATTTAACTCATTTATTAAATGAAGAAAATATTAAATTTTAAATGGAAAATTGACTTTCTTCCTTCAAATCCAGAAAATATTGCATTGAATCTTTTAAACCTTTTAAAAAATGTATGCCTTAATTAAACTATGTTAAATATATTTTGAACTAATAACTCGAGGAAAAGCTACCATAACTATCATATAAACTGAAAAAATCTTTTACTAACCTAATAAATTGACATTTGGGAAAATACCCTTCAAACCAAAATCATTTGGGGAAAAACAAACCACCGTGGCCGGTGAATTAATAAAAATGTCTGCTAAAGACTAGAATAAAGAAACTAACACTGCTCTACTAGCCCCTGGCCCTGTACCCAGTACTGACCTATGAGGTTGAATATGTTTCCACATATGCGGGAACCACCAGAACTCATCTCGTTGCAGGATCAGTTCCTCGTCACCCTCGTCCTCTTCCCGGTTCCCGGCCAGGAAGTAGCTCCCGGAAAACCCAAGGTTATACTTAAAACCTTTAATATGCTCCTCCAACCTACTCTGGGACTCCACCAGGGCCGTGACGTCAGGTTTGGTTAGGCGGGCACTGCCGACGAATATATCATCAATATCCACAAGAACATATCGGGTTAATGGGATCACAAGCTGCAATAGTCAAATACTTAGTTATCAACATTCGGATTAATTTTCTCTTCAAAAAATTATTTTCACTTTTCATAACATTTTGTTGCTAAACTCATTAACTAAGATATAACATTAGAAAGAACAAAATATGTTGAAAACTAAATATTATGTTCCTGTTGGTTTGAAAGGTAAAGAAGCGCATCAAGAAACAGAACTTTGATCAACCAGAACTGAAGTGCGTCTGAACCTCCAATTATAACTTTGCGGATTTTATCCTTTATCTCCGGTTCGTAGATTACAATAGGATCCGTATACTCCGAACCGTCTGAAGATTTAAACCTGGAGAAGACCACGGGTTCAATGTCCTCCCTGAGATTGGTAAATCGAACCCAGCTGGACCGAGCATACATAGGATCCATCTCGATGTATCCCTTAAGTATCCTCAGCATGGAGTGGTTGGAAACCTTAACAGGGCCCAGGATGTTGTGGGAGCTCATGGTGAAGGGGGAGGTGAAGTTGTTGACCGGGTCCAGCATGGGGTCATTCTCAACCTTTTCCAACCCACTTGGAACAAACCCAATAATACCGGCACTAAAAATAAATAAAATATTAATTATTTAATGACAAAAAAAGTGTGAAACTGTGTTTTTATTCCCGTTGACGGCGCAGGATCCTGGATCACTTAATTGTGCCAGGAATAGACATTAGACATTAGACATTAGACATAAGACATTAGACATTAGACATTAGACAACCACTTTAAGGAATTAATCCTCAATTTAAAGGTTAGTCTTTTGGATATCGAGGTTAGTCTCTGAAGCTGAGTGATGTCCCAAACAAAAAGTTTACTTTTAAGTTGAAGTAAAATAGAAAGAACTATTTGCTTACTTGAATTGATTGCAGTATTTCTCCAGTATCCCTCTATTCCATTTATCCATAAAATAATAGTCTCTGATATCTTCGAAAACAATTACAAAATACTTCCCGACGCCACCCCTCGATAATTTGATGAGGTCAGGCAAATTTTTCCCTGAGGTTGAGATCTTGTACTTAAGCCTCAAGGCCCCGAGGAAATCCTTGAGAAGCTTGGAGCTGGAGGCCGTCTTCGCGAAGAGGAGGATGTGAGCACTGTAGTGGTTCTTTGGTCCCCAGGTTTTCAGATCGTCTGGGGGAGAGATTTTACTTCGGTTAGATCTAGCGCAGAAATTCCGAGGTCTAAAAATAGTTATCATAATTTTTTGTATTTTTCACAAGTTTCCAAGTTAAATCTTTAAATTTTCTACGAAGTAGAATCACGCTCTATTTTTTATAAAGATATCTTTTTGTTCATTAAAGATGAGAAAGACCCATTGTACTGCCACATTCAAGGACATGATGATCACTGATCAGTGATAGGATTAAACAAACGAAGATTAAAAGTGAGGATAACTATGCTACCAATCTAGTGTATTCTCTATGCAACACTGAGAAAGTAGTAACATTATCCTTACTTAGTTCAACTACTTTCAATTCATAAATTAAGACCTCAGCTTAGGTATAGGACGCCATAAAGATGGCTTAGGCAATGACGCCATAAAGATGGCATGGATTACAAAAAAAAGTAGCCTTATTTATGCAAGTACCGTCATAACATTGTAAAGCTGATCCCCCCCGTGTTTATTTGAACTTTTACATTAACTTACGTGAGCATCCTTTTCATCTTTGGAACCGGTTTGGTGAACCCAGACATATAGAGGAGAGATAGAACGGCGAGGCCAAGAGTTAGGATCAGGAGTTTTCTCAGGCTTAGTTTCCGGCCTAGGGATAACAACACACACCATGGCTGCAGGCTTCGATTTCTACAATTAAAAAAATTAACGACGTAATTAAGATTATTAGTTATACAAGCGGTCAAAAACTTTTCCGTTAAATATTGTATTGAACAAAGAAACAGACATGAGACAAATCTTAGCGATAATATGTGGGTTTTTTTTTAAATCGACATTTCATTCACAGAATAAACGGGTCAGGATTTACCGAAAAGAATACTCTCCAAAATAGAGAGAATCAATATTTGGCAAAGATAGAAAAAAATGTTGGTCGAACGTTTTTCGACCAAGAAATGAGAAATATCAACAGACTTTATATGATCTGATTGTTGTAAAATAAACCATACAAACAAAATTGAAGATTAGGGTTCTTTTATTACTCACCTCATCATCGACCTTCGAGAGAAGTCAAAATTATTTGAAAGCTACATTTTTTAGTCTGAAACTGAAGTAAAAGAATGAATCACATATACTTTAAAATAATTACGTCATGAATTTTCTCTTGTGTTTTCTCCAGAAAGAATAGAATTGAATATATTTTTAAACTCAGAGCGGATTTAAGAACGTGACCTGGAACGCGAACGGGAACGTGATCTAGAAGTAGAACGCGATCTATAGCGCTCTAGTGGATAAATTCTTGTTCTTTGACGCCTAAGAAGCGGTCTGTCCATCACCTTGGTTTCAGGACCTAACTCTGGTACAGGTTTATTCCATGGCTCTATTCCATGGTTAAATTCCACAAATTTGTCCCAAAATAGTTCATCTTTGTCAGTTGTATGATTATTACAAAATTCTCGAAAATTCACTTTTTCAAAATAATTTTCTGGTTTCTTCAAATCTTTCATCCACGCAATTCTCTTCTTTATCGTCTCTTTCTTCTTTTTTACTCTTGCCAACGCTGCCAGTTCTTCTCGATACATCTCATGGATGTTCTCCATAACCTCTTCCCTAGTACCATAAACCTTGGAAGGTCGCATTATTCTGTAATCAAAGATATCTGTACATTTTGTACTTTCAACAACTGTACTGCTACAGCTTCAATTTTACAACAAAAACTTTGTGTGTGAGTTTAGCATTAGCAACTGGTGAATGTTAAGGTTTAGTAGTATAAATGTGACTTGTAATGTTTCAGGGCATTGAATTTATACTAATATTTTCTATTTACAACTGAAATAACAATCTTCACAAGCGCAGTACTGTACATATGTGAATATTGAATTCAACGGTTGCATTTTGAGCCAAATAATTGAGTGGTAAATGTGATTTATGAAATATGGAAGAACGAAGAAATCGCTAAAACTTTTATAAAAAAAATCTAAACAAAAAAAGAACATGTAGTTAGATCAAAATTAAACAAACAACGAAAGAATAGTAGTAACAAAGAAAGCAACTAATAAATACAGAATTCAAAGAAAGAAGCCGAAGAAGAACATTGTTTACAAAAAAATTAAAATTTTCTTGAACAATTTATAATCACAGAATAACACGGAGGGAATGGCTGAATCAAGATGAATAAATGGAGGTTGAATTAGGATAGAGTGGATCCTTAAAATAGGGTTGAAGGATCAAGATGGATAATGGAGGTTGAATTAGGATAGAGTGGATCCTTGAAATAGGGTTGAAGGATCAAGATGGATAAATTGAGGTTGGATTAGGATAGAGTAGATCCTTGAAATAGGGTTGAAGGATCAAGATGGATAAATGGAGGCTGGATTAGGATATAGTGGATCCTTGAAATAGGGTTGAAGGATCAAGATGGATAAATGGAGGGTGGATTAGGATAGAGTGGATCCTTGAAATAGGGTTGAAGGATCAAGATGAATGAACGGAGGTAGGATTAAGATAGAGTGGTTCCTTGAAATAGGGTTGTTTGTAGGATCAAGATGGATCAAGGAGGTTGTATAAGGATAGAGTGGATCCTTTAAATAGGGTTGAAGGATGAAGATTTATGAATGGAGGCTGGATCCTTAAAATAGGGTTGTAGGATCAAGATGAATGAAGGACTGGATTAAGATAGTGTTAGGGTTGTAGGATGAATTGGAGTAAGTCTAGAACAGAACATGGATGGATTGGATAGAATCAGAATTGACTGGGTAAATGGGATCCGAATTCAAGGGTTTAAAATTGCTTTCTAGGATTTATTCTTTAGAAGAATCAGGATTTCTTGATTTCTGTTACTGAAACTACACCATGGTCCACGGAGGAGAGATCACAAGCGCCCTGGTCAAAAAAGAAAATAAAAATACAATAAGAAAAAGGAACTGTAAATAGTTCACATATGTTTGAGACTAAATTAATTATTGTTTAGAGGGTTTTACTATTAGATTGAGGAAAATAATGAATTTTGGAATAAAAGGTATCAATTTTTCCTCCGGCCGGTTTCATGCCTGCTGAGAACTCGCACCTGCAGCGGACTCTGGTTATGCACCCGGCAAAGCGCAAGTTCTGGAGTTTATGGCTAATTTTCCGTAATTGATCCGTTGTTATAGGGCAGGGGAGGGGTCGAAAATCCCGATATTAGAACTGAAACAAATCCGTTCCATAAATCCAAATGTTTGTTATGTTTAAAAAATCTTGCGCTTTGCCGCGTAGCATAAGCAGAGTTCGCTGCAGGTACGAGTTCTCTCCGGGCATCACAGCTGCCCCAAGTGAAGGGGGGGAGGGATTGTAAGATTCCCAGCTATTTTAAATGTTTCACCTGCGGAGATATAAATATAAATTGTCGATCCTTGTTGTTAAGACTGAAGTTTAAAAGCTCTTTAGATATTTCCTTTCTATTTACAGCATCCAGGAACACATCCCATTCATCCAAACATCTAAAATGTTTAATTAAAATAAAAGTAAAATAATTCATTTCATTTTAACCTATCCCTGCTTGGGGTCCTTAAAAATCAGAATTCGCTGGGGGGATCAATTTGACCCCCCCCCCCCTCTAAATCCCGTGTTTGATGTCAAAATATGACAAATGGTACATATTGGAAAGCTCTTATGCTCTACTTTAGGCATAGGATTTTTTTTCTCCAAAATCCAGTTATTAAGTGAAAATGTTTACAAAAATGTCCAAAATTTAATAAAATATACAGTTTTGAAAAGCCATTTCAAATATGCAAATCTTTTGCAAAATTTAAATAACCTTTTGTGTAATTATTAAAAACTTAAAATATGCAAATTTCTTTTAATGGATTGTATACTAATAATTTGCAAAAATCAATTTCATTGCAATATATGTGGAATCCGTTTCCTAATGTCAAAGACTTTCCAAAAAGTTAAAAATTATCAAAATCTGACAACTGTAAGTGGGTCAAAACAAAGATTTAATTTGTTACAGAAAAAAAAGGAGACATTCAGGCAGTGTGCCTAAGGACTCATAGTCAGTATAAAAACCTAGCTTTTAGACCTAAAGAGAGACAATGAGTATTTAGGAAAAGTCAGATAATTTTTACAGCCTCGGACCAATACGTTATAAGTTGTGTAAAAAAATACAGGGGGGGGGGGTTAAAATTGACACACCCCCCCCCGGACTGGAAATGGGTTAAGATCAGTTTTCCAGACTAAACAATTTTCTACAAATGCTTTATGGAAATTTGGGAAAGTCCAGGGGACATAAGTTCAAAAACACGATTTGGCCCATTTCTGACGCTGAGCGCACTGCTTAGTGCTTAGTGCTCACGCTAACGTTCACAGGTAACAACTTTGCACTTCATACTCCTTCCAGGATCAATTTGGTTGACTAAATTACCCGTTGAATGTTATGACTTATGAGAAAGCTGTTCAAAAACTACAGACCAATATCTCTGACATCTGTAATATGTAAAGTGATGGAGTCATTATTAAAAGAACATATTGTTGACCACCTAGATAAAAATAACCTCATCCACAGTACACAGCATGGATTTATGAAGAAAAAATCTTGTTTAACAACCTACTAGAATATCTTGAAACGGTACAAAATAACACAGATTTGGGTGATTCAGTTGATGTTATATACTTGGATTTTACTAAAGTCTTTGACAAGGTGTCCCACAGACAACTTGCACAAGTACTAAAAGCTCATGGAATCAGAGGAAAAATATTGCAATGGATTATTTCCTGGCTGACGGATAGATCCAAAGAGTCATTTACAACAGTAGATCATCAGGCTGGAAACCTGTTTGGTCCGGTGTTCCACAAGGGAGTGTCCTGGGTCCACTATGTTTTGTTATTTATATAAACACTATAGATCTAGTAATTGAAGATGCACTAACTTTCCTGTCAAAGTTTGCAGATGATTCCAAAGCTGGAAGAAAGGTTAACACTGATCATGACAGAGAGGCATTACAAAGTTCATTGAATGCTTTAACTCAGTGGGCTGGAAAATGACTGGAAAATGCAGTTTAATGAATCTAAATGCAAGGTAGTAAATATTGGAAAGAATAATTCAAGAAATATAAATATCTTAAGAATGGAGTGGTATTGGAGGCGTCTGACAAAGAAAAAGCTGTAGGAGTAATCATTCAAGAGCTATTTCCATGACTTCTGGACTCTCAGGATCTACATATGAAGAGAAACTGAGAGAGGTTGGACTCACTAGTCTGGAGTAAAGAATTAAGAGGGGAGATATGATTCAAGTCTGGAAAATCTTTCATGAACATGATCATGTGAATAAAAACAAATGGTTTAGCTCAGCCTATGTACCTGGTGAAAATGAAAGACAAACCAGAATGTCCAGTGATCCTTTGAATCTGAAGTTACCTGTTGTGGACACCGAAATACGAAGAAACTTTTTTAGTGCAAGAGTTATCAATATATGGAATGATATTCCATATGAAATCAATAGTGCTGGAAACCTGAACATTTTCAAAAACAAGCTCGATAACTGGCTGAATTCCTGAACGGCCAATGAAGTCGGAAAAGAGATGTTTTAAATTATCACACCCGTGATATATAAACATAATCACACCAATTAAACCAATTAAACAATTATTTAATTATCGTAATATTAATATTTTGCTAATTTAATCACTATTTTTTAATTAGGTAAAATAATGTTTCCTGGAACAANGGGGGGGGTGTTATTAACCTGAAAGGAGGTTGCATCATATCCCATAAAGCGCAGATGAGGCACATTTGAGTGTAGGACTTCTCTCCTCCGGACAACGAGGACACATCCGAGTTTGTGTGACTCCCATTCTCAGTTTTAAACACAAACCGCAGTTCCTTCTTCACGTGATCTATCCGAAGGAATATCTCGGACCCGGTGCAGGCGGAGAACTTCTTGATCATCAAGTTAAACCTACGGCGGACACTGTTGGTGATCATGGTTCGGATCCACATAATGTTCTCACTTCGGTCGTTCTTCATCTTCGCCACCACCTCCAAGTGCTCGTTTAGGTTCTCTATGTTCTTCTTGAGCTTGCTGTATTTCTCCCGGAGATGGTTGAACTCCTCGACGAAGACTTCCACGTCTTGATTCTCCTGCTTCATTGCTAGTTTCTTCTTCAGCTGGACAATCTTGGCGTTTAGTTGTTTTAAACTCTTGTCTGGGTTCAACTCCTTCTTTGTGATCTTCTTGGCAGCAACAGAGAACTGTTTCTCCTCCTCTTCGTTCCTCTTGATGTCAGCTTTCAAGGATTCAATCTCACTTTTGATCTTCTTTATAAGCTTCTCCTGGAGAAAAGGAATAACGGGTTGGGTTATGATGCTTAGAAATTGATTTAAATGAAACTGACAAGAAAGGTCATACTTCTATTTCAAATCCCAACAAAGAAATTCTCTGAATCTTATTTTTGTTAAGAAAATATATCAATTTCGAATCCAAATCTATTTTTTAACACAATATACAATTGAACCCACAGATTTTAAATTCGGAATGTTTGTTTACTTAATTGTGCACATATTGCTCTGGAAACTTTATTTACTTCGTAATAAAGAATTCATTTAAGCCATAAATGAATCATACCAGGACAATCTAATTATTCATTATTGAACCAGTCGGTTAATTTTTTCTCGCAATCTTAAGTTTTTCTAGAAAAATACGAAAAAACAGCTTGATCAAAGTTATTTAGATTAAGACAAAAGGGTATTTACTATTCATGGCAATCATTGAAGGCAAGCAAAAAATGCAAATTTGCTGGCGAGGATAAAATTCGTTACTCCATCCCTGATTAAGCATCTCCTTGGTTTTACTGGATATTTCGCTCTCTAGGACCCGGAGCTCCCTGGTGATAGGGTTGGTGGAGGTCTTCAATTCGTTCAACTGCTTCTTGTTCTCCTTAAAGCTGCCCTCCTTCTCTCGCAATAACCGACTAGAAAAGAAATGTTTTAAAAATTAAAAAAGTATAAAAGTTAAGGAAATATTCTATTCAGAATTCTTGATAATTTATTTTTTAATTCTTAATTTAATTAAAACCTGGAATAATGGGAAAAATTTACAAACAAAATCAAAAATAAAGAGCATAATTTCTTAACAAAGAAATTAAAACTAATCGATTCACAAGTACATTTTTATGACCAAACTCCTTTCCAAATAAACTTACGTAGTGCTCTCTCGGTCAGATAGGATCTCTTCTATCTTCTCCTCGGAGACGGCGAGCTCGGTCTGTCTGGTCCGCAACCTGGCTCGCAGGTTCTCCGAGTCCCCATCTCCACTCTCATTTTCAGACTTTACCTTAAACAGAAGATTGAATAGAAATAATCTACATCACCATAAAAATTATTTCAATGGAAAAATGGGGAAAAAAATCGATTTTTTTGCTTTTAAAATTTCTATAAATTATTATTTTTCTGATATTATTTACAAACCTTAGATATTTGAGAGCTAATATTCGCCACTTCCTTTCTCAGTCTTTGTATCTCCGTCATTGCACGCCGTTTCTCCGCCTCGAAGGATTTCTGGCTCTTGAAAACCTCTGCCTTCTCTACCTCCATATCACCGAGGTGTTCGTTCAATCCGTTCATCTCATCTCTTCTTTCCTATATCAATTAGTCAACCAATCAATCAATCTATCAATGAAACAGTAAATCAACAAATCCATCTATAGATCAATAAAAATTAAATAATAAATTTCTTTATTTGTAGAAATCAAAATCAGAGAATCAACAAACCTAATCACCAAAAGACTAACAAACCAATCAACCAACCAATCATTAATATAACCAACAAATCAAAAAACTTTTCATCCATCCAACACACAAACCAATAAACTTTTCAACCAAATAAGTCAAAAACTGTTCAGCCAACTAATTATCTGATCAATCAAATATTCAATCATCCAACCAGCCAACCAATTATGTGATTTTATGAGCAATGTTGAAATATCAATAATTTCCATGAAATCATAAATTATTGATAATGGTTACGAAATCTTGGATAATCACCTCAACTAGATTTAACATTGTGGCTCTTAGCATTCCAGATCCTAATGGAATCTCAATATAGTAGGATCTATAGCTCGCGTTCTCTCTACAAACAAGATTCAAGATAAATAAATATTTTGAGACAGATACTAAATCAAAGGTGGTTCACATTAAGCCATCAGGATTCCTCCAACAGAAAAATTGGGTCTGATCTACTGTTATATCTGACAGCCAATTTCATAAAATTTACAACTGTTTAATTAGTATATACAAGAAAAGAAAATGCAATTTAATCAAAATTCATTAATGGAAAAACATATAAACTTTCATTTTTAATTTACAACTGATCTGGGAACTTACCCCGGTAGGAACCTTGTAACACCACTTGCAAAAAATTAAAAATAATAATGACATTGGCATTGGTGAAACAAAATAGCTGAAAGATATTTGTTATTTTTTGTTTAAAACACATATCAAAACTATTGTATAATATAAGAAAAACGAGTTGAAAGCATTTTCGATTTTTTATGTTTATCACGCCCAAAATTGTTATCTCTGCTCACCTGGCAGGAAAAAATCTGTAAAAATCATGTGTGATTGCATAGGCTACTCCTTCAGGTACATCAGCTCGCCGGGTCATCAGAGCCTTTGCTCTGTCCTGAAATAAAATTGAGTCAGATATATTATTTTACAAAAGATTGATTAATCGTAGGTTTGAAATCAATCAATGGTACAAAATTATTTTAAAAACATTCCGAAAAATTTAACAGCTTCTAGCTCTACCTGTGTTCTGCAGACTAGAATTGATTCTATACTCTTCTGATCAACTAAAAAAAATCAAATGAACCAATAAGAAAATTTGGGGGGTTTCTAAACCTACTTTTAATCTCTATTCATATGACTTTTGATTGATTAATTGATTGACTTGTGTATTTATAAATTATTCATATTATAGATTGATCATTTTGAAATTCCTAAATGATTAAAGACGACTGGACTCTCCACTTGAATATAATCTATAAGAACAGGTTCAGAACATCGCGGTCTGCGCACATTATGGTTGACCGCAAAGAATTTAGAGGTAAATATCCTGGGTTTATTTCTTCCATCTGAGCCATACACGTCGTCGAATATACGCATTAAAACTCTCCTAAATAAATAGACAACGATTAGAACTTGACAGATGTTTTATAAAAATAAATGTCTAAAACAATCATGTTTATTAGCTTGTCTGTTTGCTTGAATCCAATATCCGTCAAAAGACTGAAAATATTTTTTTTATGGAACCTCACATGATCCCGGGGGAAGATTTATGACGGGCCAAGATTTGACACAAGACATGATAGGCACGACATCAAGAGTATCAGGAGAAAGATCAGTTTGAAGAACCCAGACCGCCATCGGGTGGACACCCGGCCCCCCAGGCCATCCGCGGATGAGGTATCACCCGGGGGCAGGCAGAAAGAACAGAAAATTGTCTCTGCTTTTTTTATAGATATCTAATGACCAAGTGTGTAGTTAAAAATGTTCAGGATTTAATTAACATGGATGAAATCTTTCAAGTTGGGCAACTTGCACTTTTGTTAATAGACAAATGGCACAATGTTCATTGTACAAAAAGATTTGACTGATGTGTATTGTACCTGTCATGATCGTCATTGGTCAGGTAAGCTGTAAGGTGAGCTCTACTGATCTCGGTTTCAACTAATCTGCCTACCTCAGGTTGAGTTGCAGCCTCACCTTCAAAAATACAATTTTGTTAAAGGAAAATAAAAGTTTTTTTTACGTCAAGATTACTGATCCTTAACTGCATGAATTTGGCGGTTTATAAGAGTATATCTAAAAATTAATTTTTCCACTTCCCCCCCCAAGGAAGGCATGTTAAAAAATTATAGGAACGAGTTTTTGGGTAAGATGTAGCAACAAAAGGGTGATAAAAATTGTCTTAAGATGTCCAAATTTTTTTCCCCCTCCAATCTTCAAAAATCAATCCCGGAGGAGCTGTAGTTCCTAGAAATATACACCCCTTTTGTCACTACTGAGTCAACTCACCAGTAAGTTTAACATATGCTCCGACAGGTCCTACAGGAGTATGTCTGAACTGATTACTACGTTTAATTGCTTTATCAACCAGAGGTATTTTAGCTCCAAACACAGCTAGATGTTGTTCACTGGCTCCCTGAAGTTCATCAAGCTCCCTCTGGAGCATAGCTCTCCGCTCACGTTTATTTTTTATTTCCTTTTCAATTAACAATATTTTCTCTTGGTCCTGCTTTATCTTTAGGTCCTGGGCTTCACGGGTCATGCCCTCCTGAAATCAGAAAAGTTAAAATGGAAATGTTCAAGAATTTGGTACGGGCTGAGGACAAACAATTTATGGAATTTTATATTTATGGTGCCTGACTCTTTTCAGACGAATTTGTTTCAAAGATATAATGTGCGGGTGCTAGGTTTTTTAGAGAAACCTAACAAGGATCAAAACATTTTAATGTTTTTGCACCGTATTCTGTTTTGGCATTTTCTTGAATATAGAACCTTATCACATGGGATAGTTGAAAATAGAAGAGTTTCCAGCGTAAGGTATAATTTCCCGGATGAATTTTATCAACGCATATTCTCGAAACTTAACTAACTCTCAGGTTACGTTATTACCTAAATAGGCATTTACTTTGGAAGAACTATAACCGACTATCATATCCAACTAAATTTTGGTCGTGCGCCGGGCAGGAGTACGCTAGGGGTGTAAGATCTATGGATCTTTTCCTAAATCTTGATGTTCAGGTTGAATCCAGAAATCGTGATCTAAAGAAGCACATGAAGATCTACTCATCTAACTCTATACTTGTTCCTCCTGTATATACATATATAAATATTTAATCGAGCTTTACTTGAGATTTTACTTGAGTTTAACTAAAGTTTTACTTTAAATGTATTATTCTGGCCTAAAGTTTTATATCCTCGAGCTTAATAAGCTTTCTTATAACGTCTAGATTTACACTTTAAAAAAGAAGCCTGAAACAAAATTATATTTAATGGTCTATGTATTTCAGACCACAATGGGCTAGATAGCTGTCCTTTATATCCTGTTTAGTACTCCAGGTTGTGCAATACTAGGTTTATAAAACATCTTATTTAAATGTAAATGTAAACACTGCCTATGCCTTTCGAATTTAAGCTCTTTAAAACTTATGGATGTTATATAAAGTGAATCCAGATCGTACGTGTATTTCATCACCTGTCCTGAACTATGAACTAATGAATTAACAGGTGAAAATACATTCCTAGAGAATTCTGAACTTTTGAAGTTTATGCGAAACTAACTACTCCCTTATCTCTTAGAACAAGTTCTTCTCTGATATATCCTCGCCTCCTCTCGGAGAAGTATCCTCGCCTCCTCTCGGAGAAGTCCCGTCGGAAGCAACTATGTTTCTCTAAACCGGGACTGCTGCTTTCGAGCAGAAAGAGGTGAAGATTGAATATGAACTGCTCTCAAGATGAGATCTAATGTTAACCTAATCTTATTTAGATCCCATCAATATCCTCGCCTCCTCTCGGAGAAGTCCCGTCGGAAGCGTCTACCTTGCTTCTCTAAACCGGGACTGCTGCTACTAAGCAGATGAAGGTGAAGATTAAATAATAACAATGCCAAGGATATTTCACTTTGGTACAGAGAGGATACAGGATACTGGATACAGGATACAGGATACTGGATACTGGATACAGGATACAGGATACTGGATACTGGATACAGGATACTGGATACAGGATACTGGGTACATGATACTGGGTACATGATACTGGGTACATGATACTGGGTACATGATACTGGGTACAGGATACTGGGGAAAATGCTAAAATTCCCAAAACGGGCACAAGGGGTCTTCCCATCACGACTAGGTTGGAATATTATACATTTTGGAAGATAAAATCTTCACATTTTTTGCATCTATTTCACCTGATTAATTTTCTCCTCTAAATTCTTCTTTTCTTCTTCTAAATTGGCTAAAATAGCTACTCTCCGCTGTTCTTTCCTAAAATCACATATTATTAAAGGGGTCAAATCAAATCAAATCAAACCAAACCAAACCAGAGTGTAAATTTTTACGTCTTTTTTGAGGCTTATTAAGAAAACTTTTTAGACTTATATTTATATTTTGGATTGCTTAAGTTTACATCGATTCAGGAGAAAGTTCATGACTCTAAATTATGTCCGAAGGTTTATTTTAATATGATGGTTAGGTTCAAAGTTGATGAATATTACAATCACTTGAGCCACATCTCAAATTTGAGACGCAGTTCAAACATGCAGGGTGGCCAAAACTTTTTTGAACCCATCCGTACAAAAATCCGTACATTTTCAGAAGAAATCCGTACAATCCGTACAATTTTAGGGTTAAAAAAAAATCAATCCGTACAATCCGTACATTTTGGCCACCCTGAACATGGTTGGTTCCACTTGAAATTGTATTTAGTGTTTCGAGATTAGAGCCGGCGCCCAATTGGAACCGGTTTTAGGCGGTTCAGCGAGGCGTTTTAAATTCTTTAAATTCGGCCTCATAAATATTTTTTTCTAAAAGAATATAGTTTTTTTAACTATCCCTACTAAACTTATTGTATCTGCTTTAAAACTAAATTCAGAAGCGTTAAACTTTTTATAATCCGTTCTTAAGCATTTATTTATTTATTATGACAACACTAAAACCAAGAATGGAGTTAGACATCCCGCCCGCCAGCACCTTCCTAGCTAAATGATACAAGGTCATGTTTATGTAGCATTAAACCTAAAAAAGGAAGTTAAGTCCGTGAGGACAAACCAGATATCTGCGCTATGGACCAAGAGGCCCTCTGCATATCAACCTACAAGTAACAAGTATCAAGCATCAAGCATCAAGCATCAAGCATCAAGACACGAACACGAACACGAACCCAAAAAATCATTTTTTCCCCATTTTAGCGCAAAAAAAACTCTAAAACGAAATTTTGGTCCCGAGGAAGCATACCTCTGTAGAAAAAAATATTTTCAAATAGCAGAGTGATGATTTTTTAAGAAAATATAAACCACTGCATGATTCTTACCTCTGCAATTCTCCTTTAGTTTCCCTTTCTCCCAGGAAATTAATTTGATCTTGAAGAACCCGGATTTCCTGGGCTACTCACACGCAATATTTGTTTAAGCTCTTATGATACCAATATTTTCAAGATTTACCGGATGATGATTTATCTTTGAACTGTGGCGGCTGAAGTAAGAAAATTAAATCAAAAGTCAAGATTTACATCACATTCGATATTTTATAACAAAATTTTTTTTTGAATAATTCAAGATAAAACTTTCTTGATTTGGATCCACATTGGAATGGAATGGATCCCACAAACTGATTCCAAGATTCATTTAACAATTGAAAATAGAGCAGTTCTTCAAAAATCCAAGCTAACAGATAAAGATTCAAAATTAAATTCCTTGCTTTACTATTAACCAAGCACCTGCCAAACAGGCCTTTAGGAATTTAGAAATAAATATTTTTGTCTGTCAAATACATTTATTTTATAATTGTGTGGATCATATTCCTAGACTGTTCTTATTGTTGGTTTCCGACTTCAAGGAGGAATTTAGTTCTTTTAAATCTTGTTTCAGTTTATCCAGCTCCTCCTAAATATAACCTTCCGTCTTAACACAAGCAGAGAAGCAATCAATCATTATTAATAGATAAAAATTATCTGCGTTTCACGTCATTTAAGAAACTTTTGACATATTTTCAAGTGACCCTCAATATTAGGAGAAGTATATCTAATTTGAACTACAATCTGTTTAACAATGCCAAGGATATTTCACTTTGGTACAGAGACCGCGTTTAAAAGTCATAATTTTCAGATTTAAAAAATAACATTGTTGCACTTTCTTATTTGTTGAGTTCCAAATTGAGCAAAAATTATATCCAGATTTATCGTAGCAAACTGATGGAATTAAACAAAAAATTATTTTAGTTTAACCCTGAGATATTTAAAGCTGTGTTGTCGGGATACCAGAAAAAAATGCAGTAAAAAGTTTTATAAAAAACATTTTCAAAATTCCACGGGCAACGCCGGACACTTGTGCTAGTATTATTTCTAATAAATGTGAGAGTATAATCTGGAAGGTTTCCTTGAGTTTGATGAGATCCTGCTCCTGCGCTCCGAATTTGTTGCTTTCATCCTCCAGGCATACCTGGACAAAACAAACCTTTGCAGGGCCTAATTTTTTCGTTAATAATTTATTATTCAACTTCGAGAGAATACATTTAATATTTGTTCCGAGGAAAATGAGTAACATTTTATATCGTCAAAACAGGTTTCCATTTATAATCAGCAGATTTTCATAAAAAAGCGGATATTTGCATGTAATTTGAAATGAATAAAGGGGATGGTGGAGATGTCCTATTTGATGAGGAGGGGGCTGCCTTCATTTATGGTTCAAATGTTCCAATTTTATCCGTAAAATAAAATAGAATCGGACACTTGAGACTTCTTAATAACCTATAATGACCTTGAAAAATAGAAAATGTTTTACTATGCTTTATACATATCTATATATATATAAAATAGTTTGGACACTTCAGACCTCTTAATAACCTATAATGACCTTGACAAATTAAAAAGGTTTTAACTATGGCTTTTTTAAATATCAAACGAAAGCTAGAAACACAGACAATACAGTAGCAGCAACGAATCCATTGTTTGACCTTCTGAAGGCCGACTGCTAACGACCTTTCATGGCCTACAAATTCAAATGTTTTAAACATAGCTTTATGCATTTCAAACGAAAGCTAGGAACCCAGGCAACACATTAAAAACAAAGAATTCAGTATGTGACCAGGCCTCTAATAACCTCTGATGACCTCCAAATTAGAAGGTCAATCGCTGAAATCGTTGCGGCTACTGTATTGCTCGAGTTCCTAGCTCTCATTTGAATTGCATAAAAGTCATAGTTAAAACTATTCCTATTTGTCGAGGTCATTAGAAGTCATTAGAGGTAATTAGTGTCCAATATTATTTTATTTCTGGCAATTAGAACACAAATTAGGCGTGCAACCAAAAACTTGGAAGATTTGAAATAAAAATGAAGACATAGCCCCCCCCCCCCTCTATCATTAAAGAGGCCATTCCTACCATCCCCTTAATATATCTAACAGTCTTGTGATATCAAGGGTGAAAATATGTTTTGTTATGATTTTACTTTTCTTTGTTAAGTTTTATGATCCCTCACTAGTCACTTAGTTCGAGATTAAGAAGGAAAACGCTAAAAACCTTAAACAAACAAAAAAAGAAAAAATATCGGCAAAAAAACATGATGTCCAGCGTGATACCGTAAGGCGCATAAATAGGTATAAATTCATCGTTAAAAAAGCTAATATATATCGACTCGACTACTTCATATTAAAACATGAACTTCTGAGGAGAAGAAAAAATATTTAAAACATAAAAAACCGCCCCTGAATTGTTATCATAAAGTGTCGTCGGATCAAGTCTGAAAAAGCAATTTAATCAAATAAAAATCATTTTAATCCTACCGACATCTCCGTCTTCCTGAGTTTCTTCTCCGCGAGGAGCTCGTGGGCGCTCATTAACCTCTCCCTGTGCTGTTCCATCATCTCTGTCAACTTCTTTATATTCTCCTTAAATATTACGCAAAATAAATTTCTTTTTTTCGTGAGAAAAAAAAATATTTTTGAGTATCAAGTTTACTTTGATATACTGATTATGTAATAAATTGTGATTTTAAAAAAGGTTTGGACCAAACTTGGTTTTAGTGTCATAAAATAATTCAATTTTTTAAGAAGCTAAAATAAAACTCATTTCTAATGATTATCCCCATAGCTCCCCCTCCCCCACCCGTAAAAAGAGGTGAACCCACAAATGATGTGACTTCAGAGACGACTGTACGGAATTTAAGCTGTGTATTTCCATATTACCAGCAACTATAAACTTCTTTATGCCAAACCATTCAAAACAATTGATTTAATTCTTATTTAAATAGTTTTCAGTCGTATTTCCAGTCACATTCTTTATATGTAACCCTGTATGAAGGGACTGTACCTGTAGTTCTATGATATTCTTACGAGCAGCATGAACTCTAACCCAGGCATATTCTCCCTTCGCTACCATTAGTTCACCGTTCATCTCCTGGCTAGCTTTGATCTCCTCATATCTAATCAATCAATCAATCGTAGTTTTATTCATTTGCATAAAAAGTCGCTTTTTGTCGATCACTACAAGACCGTTCCATTGTACTTTAAGAGAGCTGCAATAAAAGTATGTACTTTGTATGTTACACTTAGATACGTCCTCTTCGTAATAATCATGGGTACGCCATCCGTTGCAACAGGGCAAGCATTCTTATAAATTTTGCCAATCTGAGCTTATATCAGAGACATTGGATTAGAATCCTCTTATTCCCGTAACTATATATACTAGATCCGCCTTGAAAAATACGAACCAAGATCCAGGTCGTAAAAATTTCTTTAAGAATTACTGAATATTTAAAAAGAAAAAACTGAAGTAAACTATGCTAAACTTTACGCTAAAATCATTCAGATAAGTATTCTCAAGAGCTAAGGAAACTTTTATTTAATAATCTTTCTTTTTTCAATAATTCAGATTTGGACAGTGAAAGCAAAAAGTTATTGCTAATAGTTTTTGTTTTACATTTTGCCCCCGGATACAGGGAGCCAAAATGTTGCGGTTTCAACTAATATATTTTTAACACATTCTCACCTTATCTTGGACTTCTTGTACTCTGCGGTGAGCTGACGGAGCGATTTATTCTTCTCCTTGAGGTTATCTTGAACCTTGGTATACTCTGCCTGGGCCTCGCTGTACTCATCAAAGCACTGCTTGATCAAGGTCGCCTTCTCGAAGAATCTGGACCATATCAAAATAAGTTAATAGGCGCGATTAAAAACATTTAATCAATCAAATCAAATCAATGAATTAACTTCTTCACATTAACACTCCATTCACAAGTTGTTTTTTTCTCTTTAGGAGCCATTTTGTACAGACGGCCTTTTTAAAATTCATCGCGTAAATTTTACTTAAATTATGAACCAGTAGAAAACCAGACTGAAAAAAATTTATATATCTCGAAGTTAGTCTTATCATAAATACACGGATTATTTAAAAATCCAAGCAATCAGCTTATCATCTAATCAATCAACCAATCACCTTATCATCAAATCAATCAACCACTGAGCTTATCATCTAATCATTCAAACAACCAGCTTATCATCTAATCAATCAAGATATCAGCTTATAATCAAATCAATCAACCAATGAGCTTATCATCTAATCAATCAAACAACCAGCTTGTCATCTAATCAATCAAACTATCAGCTTATCATCTAATCAATCAAATAATCAACTAATAAATCGATCAATCAAACAATCAGCTCATCATCTAATCAATCAAACTTTCAGCTTATCATTTAATCAATCATACAATCAGCTTATCATCAAATCAATCAAACAATCAGCTTATTATCTAATAAATCAAACTATCAGCTTATCATTAAATCAATTAAACAATCAGCTTATCATCTAATCAATCAAACTTTCAGCTTATCATTTAATCAATCAAACAATCAGCTTATCATCATCAATCAAACATTCAGCTTATCATCTAATCAATGAAACTATCAGCTTATCATCCAATCAATCAAACAATCAGCTTATCATCTCATCAATCAAACAATCAACTAATAAATCGATCAATCAAACAATCAGATAATCATCTAAACAATCAAACAATCAACTAATAAATCGATCAATCAAACAATCAGATAATCATCTAAACAATCAAATAATCAACTAATAAATCGATCAATCAACACCGACTTTAATAATAGTGAATTTATTCTGATTGATTTCCTATAGAGTTGATGAGGGGACTCAATCTTTAGGAGTTCCTTGGCTTCATCCTGCTGTAGTATCACAATAGGACTGTCAACCTTCATCACCAATATCAACATCCTTTAACGTCTTATATCTACAGCTTTAAGTAAAGCTTTGAAGGGACTGTCCACGTTTTGTCAAGTAACCTCCAGATCAAAGAGTTGCATAATTGGCTTACTTAAACCTTTCTTAAAGTAACAAAAGATAGATTCTGTCAATTTCCTCCTTTCTCTCTGCTGCATTAATCTGCAAGTCTCTTGAAATCACAATTGAAAATATACAGTCCTTTAGTTCTAGACACATTTCTATTGGAACGGCCTTCAGTCATTTACATTAAAATGATTTTTTTGTACAGTTTTAAAGACGAGTTGATGTTCCTGGATTTGAAATTTATCTAATATTCGTTTACATTCATCTTTAGCATCCTTAGACTTTCTCACAACATCCTTCATATTCTCATCCTATATTAAAAATACATTTAAAGAAATGTTGCGATACATTAGGTTTTAAAACTAAGAAACCTAATATATTAAAGCAAGTAGATTGTTAAAAATCCCTGCCCAGTCATTTGAGAAAATGCCACTTAAACCTTGTTTAAAAAAGCCGTTGTTTCCAAAGTTTTTGGGAAATTATTTAGAAATCCAAAATGTTTTGAGATTTTTTTACTTAATAATTATCATCATATGATAAAATCAATGTAGAATTATCAAGTCAGAAGAAAGTAACTATATTAAGAATTTTTTATAGGTTTTAAACATCAGATGATAAAATTGAAGCACATTTTAGTTTTATAATTCTAGTTTTCTTAACTATTCGTCTAAAGAGGCTGTGATGTAAAAGGTTCAAGTGTGAAAAAGACAGAATTAAAAATTCAGTTATTTACTTTTTAAGCCAGGCAATTTTTGTAACTAGATCTGGTAAAGTTTATCTGCTATTAGGAGATCAATCAATTATAATAGATCGTTACTCATCATCAAAGAAACAACAAGAGAATTTCAAGTGACCATCCAGGCAAAGATAGCAATGCCAAATTTACAACGGCATCCTTAAAAACCCCATATCTTATCAAAAATAAGGAAGATATTGTCATTTTTCTAGGTTTGCAAGTTTTTAATTCTGATCATTTAGGTTTTCCTGAAGTAGAAATGCACAGGTCACTTTTGTAGAGAATTCACATGTAAAAAAAGGTTAGTTTTCAAAATTATAAACATTGAAATATAATTTATACAAAGCTTTTAAGGGCACAATTGTGAATCGGGCATTGTCATCTTTTCATGGAAGCAACTTGAAATTACTCAACAGTCCCTTTAAAAAGTGCTCAGTCCTCCTTAGTTATAGATTCCTACCTTGAGAAGATAAGATGAGCTACCAGCATCTGTAATAGTTCTCTGGAAGGTGAGGGAAGATCCATAAATCTCAGGTTTATAAGCATCCTCGCCAGTGTTTCTCAAGGTCACCTTAACCAAACCATTTTTATTCAGACAGTGCAGGGGCGCGTTTATTTCAAAGCAAAATTATATTATCCCATATGGTATCCAATAAACTTCATAAGAAATAGGGAATGTTATCGGATGTCTGAAGTTGTTACTAGAAAAGGAGAATGAAGCGCCCGGAAAGTATAACAAAGTAAAACCAAACAGAGTAAGAAGCTCTAAAAGTTTTTTTAAAAAAAGTAACCATGAAACGAGAGTATTTCAGTAAAATACAAAGGAAATTTGTTGAATAGTCTTTTCCTGTATCACTGCTTTGCTGCAATCCTTCTTCACGAATTCACTTATTTTAGAATATCGTTTTATGTGTTTTGATTCTCCCATCAAACCAAGAACCAAACCTGAAAATATTACTATCGATGAATCAAACCTCTACAATATTTGGTAGAAACAAAACAACCAGAAAATGCAATTACATTTGTGAAATTGCTGATGTATCTTTATTACTACTTAAAATCTGACAACGTAAAAAATGAATGAATAAAACCTCCCAAAAAAAGATTATTGTTTGTAAACCTGGCAATATTTGTGCTATTCATGAATAAACCCTGACAGCGTATTTTTAGCTGTTAAATCAAACCAACCAACATATTTGTAATTGTTTAAGAAACTGGACTCCATAAATGCAATTGATAAGATATGTAATAAATATGTAATTTGAAAATAAAAACTTGATAAATGAAAACCTATCAACATGGATTCATTAATAAGGGAAACGTGCCTACTTGAAATCAGTTAATAAATAAAACCTGCCAACATACCTGTAAATGGTAAATAAAAAACCTGACAACACATTTGTATAATTGATGTATACCCCCGACAACATTGACTAACAAATGAAACTAACTAACCTAACCTTTATTGTAATAGAGACTAGTAATTCCTTCTTTGACTGAAAAATAGTACATATTCTGAACAGTAGACTAAAAATTGCATCTACCTTGTCTAAAAAGAATAAAAAATGCACCTACCCTGTAAAACGGAGCTTTTCCCAGAACCGTTATTGCCGGTAACGAAGTTAACACATGGATTAGGCTCCCAGAGGAACTCTGTATGACACATAAAATTCTCTAGTCGTATTCTTTCAATGATACCGATTACATTGTTCTGAACATTTAGGAATCATGAAAGTATAATCAAAATTAAAAATAAACAAAATTTTTAATTTAAAGTAACTGTTTTGATGCCTACTTGTACCCAAAATCTATTTATTTCTTATATTAAAAAGAAAAAAGCCAAAGCATGTCTTAAAAATGTAGAAAACACACCTCCCTGTAGGTTTGATATAATCTCTCTAATCTACTCAAAATCTTACCGATTCTTTGGCTCCATTACTTGCAGGAACAAAGTAACCATCATCCTCACTATTCTTTCTTTTTCGACCTTTACCTTAATAGAAAAATTGAACCTAAATAGAAGTCTCGACGTTAGGGGGGCGGGGGAGAACCAAAAATCGTATACTAGGACGGACCGAAAATATTACTTCTCAACAGTCTCGTGTATTTCTTTAGCTGGAAAATGTAGAGTTGTAAAACAATATTCGACTTCGGGATCAGAGGGGAGGGGGGGCACGTCATAATGATCGTGAATAACTTCAGAACTAAGTAAACAAAACATTCTTGAAGATTAACCAGTTTGGATGAATTGTATATGAGTTATGCATATTTGTATTTAAAATTCGCATGCTGAAATTATAACTCTAAGAGTCTTCTCTGCGTATATTGAAGTTGTAACTTATAGCTTACCCAAACTGAAATATTTTCTCTTTGAGGTCAGAGAAGACAAAATTTAATGTAATTTGATTACTTCACTTGCACAGAAACAATATGGTCGCCATGGCAATTCTCATTTATAATTTATTTAAATCACGGTAACCATTGCATGATTTATAAATGATAAAATAGGGTCCGGTTATAGTTTCTAGATTTTTGGCCCCCCGCCCTCCTATCAATTTGGCCGCAGCGCTCGGCCCAGAAAGTGTCTTAACCTAACCTAACCCTAAATAATCCTAATTAAATTGAAAATTGTTGNGGGTTCCAAAAATCGTTCACTAGGACGGACCCTAGGGTCCTTGAGTCCACTTACCTATAGGTTGTTTCCCCCCTTGTTTCCAAGCTGCGGCAACTAGTGCCTCCCGTCGCCCCGACATTCTTCCCTACGAAGTACACCTGAAATTTAAAAAAAGGTGAACTAAATTTTAACATTATGATAAATAAATATCTCGGATTCTAGAATTTTAAAGAGTTTAAATGGTAAAGAAAAATATTAAGTCTTTAAAGTAACTAAGCTTGTGGCCGGGCGCGTATTTTGATAATTTCTGCCGCGTGTGATGGGGCAAGGATATTATTTTCTTTTCTGTCGTCTTCACAGAACCGGTTGCGTATGTTACATTACCGTCTTAAAAATTAATATTTCTATGAGTATAATTGTACGCTGCAAAGAACAGAAAGAACAGAAAAAAAACATTGATTTAGCAGTTACTTATGTCGATGCGTGCATAACAAAACGTAACGCTAAAATATAAATCGTCTCGACTTCCAAGTATTATTTAAAATTATTTTTCTCTCTACAATTTTGCCTCCTCCCCTGTGTCCCATGTCCCAGCTACTCCTCCACTGTCCCCCCTTAATTGTCCCCATGGCTCCCCACTGTAGAAGTCATTACAAATTGAGGAGCGTACATGCCCCAAAACACGTTTAAGTGGTGCTGCTTCCAAATTGAGGACCTTTGCACCCCCCCCCTGACCTGCAGGGTCTTGGAGATGCTCTCTGAACCCTGTATTCTGACTTTTGTATATGATGATTTTTATTTCTATTTGCCAGTGGACAAGTAAGACTGCGTTTTTATTTGACTTTTTCTGCAAGCTTAACCCTAATTCATGATTTTCGATCAATTGTAATAATTGCACGTATGAAATTATGGTTAGGCTGGTTAAGCACCATTAATTAAATTTCAAAATGATAAAAGTAAATTCATCCTTTTTGTAAAACTGCAATTATAGTTATTTATCTAAATGAAATCTTTTGATCTGAATTGTTTATATTTTTAAAATCTGTTGTATTCTTTTGAAGCTTAGTCGTAAAGATATGTTTTTATGAAATGTGAAAGGCCATAAACCATTTACAGAGGCCAGAAAGCTGGGTTCAGATGTCATTCTGCAAATCCAATGGTTTTTATGCTAATATGCGGGTTCAATGGCAGCACTGCACCCCATCCCTCTCATATACAGGGTGTCCCACAAAATATGACAGTCGTCTTATATTTTTGATATAATTTGCTGCATTTTTTTGTCAACCTAATTTAAGAAGTAAAATGTTAGAGACAACCATTACAATTAATACCCCCAAGTCCTAGCTGGAATTTCCAAAACGTGTTCTGTCTTTTCTGCTTTAAATATTACCCGAGATATGAAGAATTTCGTTCAGATTTCGACAATTTTGGTTTTATTCTTCAGAAGAGTGAGGACACACTCCTGATGATGCCAAAGTTTTTGGCGAAATATATTGAGTAGAAAATGATAAAATTCTAGTGCTAGAGAGATACGGTTGGGATTTGTTTAAAAACGATCTAAAGAAAACCAGTATGTTTTAACAATTGTGAACAATTTACACGAAATATGGTCAAATAATTATTTTGTTTTATAAAAATATCATGATTTTACTAACTTGGGAACCCATCTTTGCCTGAAACTAGGTTTCCTCTAGAAAAAGTTAACAGAATCAACTTAGAATTTTTAAATGAAGCTAAGAATTGTGGTTCTACCTAGTTCCCCATGAAATTTGAAAAAAATCGGCCAAGGAGTTTCTGCGTTATGAATGGACATACAAATAAACAGACAAACAGAGATTACTTTAACAGTGGTCAGTGATAATTATAGGACTTTGTAATTTTAATACGACTCTTGGACTCAACTCAAGCAATAACTTTAAAAAGTGTAATAAAAAGGAAGTATAACAATTGTGCAATGTGCAGTGTATACAGACACATTTCACTTGATAAGTTAATTATCAAGCTGTTGGTAAAATTATTTTCTTTATAACAAAATTTTAAATACATTTAATATTACTTAAATGTTGTTTTCCGGAGGTGACTACGAATTCAATAAGAAAACATGATGGGTGTGTATCTGAAATATCCTTAAAAAAGGGATATGATTGAAAAATTTTGAATAATGATCTGTGTGTCTAAAATTATTAATTTAAAAGGATATGATGGAGGTGACTTCAAATTCAAAAAGAAAACATATGGTGGGTGTGTATCTGAAATATCCTTAAAAAAGGGATATGATTGAAAAATTTGGAATAATGAGCTGTGTGTCTAAAATTAATAGTTTAAAAGGATATGATGGAGTTGACTATGAATTCAATAAGAAAAACATGGTGGGTGTGTACTGAAATATCCTTAAAAAAGGGATATGATTGAATAATTTGGAATAGTGAGCTGTGTGTCTAAAATTAATAGTTTAAAAGGATATGATGGACTACGAAGTCAATAATAAAACATGGTGGGTGTGTACTGAAATATCCTTAAAAAAGGGATATGATTGAAAAATTTGGAATAGTGAGCTGTGTGTCTAAAATTAATATTTTAAAAGGATATGATGGACTACGAAGTCAATAATAAAACATGATGGGTGTGTATCTGAAATATCCTTAAAAAAGGGATATGATTGAAAAATTTTGAATAATGAGCTAGCTGTGTGTCTAAAATTATTAATTTAAAAGGATATGATGGAGGTGACTTCAAATTCAAAAAGAAAACATATGGGGGGTGTGTATCTGAAATATCCTTTAAAAAGGGATATGATTGAAAAATTTGGAATAATGAGCTGTGTGTCTAAAATTAATAGTTTAAAAGGATATGATGGAGTTAACTATGAATTCAATAACAAAAACATGATGGGTGTGTACTGAAATATCCTTAAAAAAGGGATATGATTGAAAATTTGGAATAATGAGCTGTGTGTCTAAAATTATTAGTTTGAACGGATATGATGGTGGTGACTACGAATTCAATAAGATAAACATGGTGGGTGTGTAACTGGGTGAAATCTGGGTGCATAAACTCGACTTAAACTCGACTTTTTGAATCCAATATTTTCCCCATCATCAACTGGGTCAAATATGGGTGCATAAACTTGACTTAAACTCGACTTTTTGAATCTTAATTTCTGTGTCAATATTTTCACGAAACTTCAACTGCACAAAAATGCATTTTTAAGTGAGAATTTAATAATATTTGATGATTTTTAAAAAGAATATATATGTAAGAAATTTTATGCAACTATTTTGGAAAATACAATTTTTCAAAATTTCTTTCATTTTGGAGTAAATCGATGTTTTCATTAGAATCAATGCCAGTAAATTCTTGATTTTTTGATAAATAGAAGTTCCACTTACACAGTCATGTAACAGGTTTAAGGGCAAGTTAATACAGCATAACATATATTGAATATGTAATTGTTAAATATGTGTGCTGTCTGTATGTATGAGTGTTAATTAAGATTATTACAGATGGAGAAATGATGATGGGGTGAAGAAGAAAACTGGATTGGATTGGTGATATCTGGATGATATGTGGGTGATATCATCTGGATGATATAACCCGCATATCATCCAGATATCACACACATATCATCCACATATCATCCACATATCGTCCAGATATCATCCAAATATCATCCATATATCGTCCAGATATCATCCACATATCATCCACATTTCATCCACATTTCATCCAGATATTATCCATATATCACCCACATATTATCCAGATATCATCCACATATCATTCAGATATCATCCACATATCATCCACATTTCATCCACATTTCATCCAGATATTATCCATATATCACCCACATATTATCCAGATATCATCCACATATCATTCAGATATCATCCACATATCATCCACATTTCATCCACATTTCATCCAGATATTATCCATATATCACCCACATATTATCCAGATATCATCCACATATCATTCAGATATCATCCATATANATTTTACTAATGCATGGAGAGAGGAAAAAGTATGTTACTGAATTCAAATAAAGACATATTTAAGTTCAATAAAAAGGTATGTCAAGATATTCATATTCCTCTAACTCATAGGAAAGCATAAACTATTTGTTGCAATTCACAGATTGTAAGTTGATGAAATTCTGGGTTACCATCCCTTTTTTAAGGATATTTTAGATGCACACCCAGCCATGATGTTTCTCTGATTGAATTCGTAGTCAGCTCTATCATATCTTTTTTATCTGAATTAATTTTAAACACATACTGATCCTGCTTGTCATAACTAATGTATTAATTTTTTTTTGTTATATGACATATTATAAGTAATTTAGACAATTTTAACCAATTTATTTATATACATATAGTAAATTATTAGAAAAAAGGCTTTTCATACCTAAAGGAAATTGTGATCATTCATAAAGCTTCTCTGAGGTCAAGTGAGGTCTCATTTGTGAATATTTACTCCAAAAATAAATTTGGTCGATTTTCAAATTTCCAATTTTGCTAGAGGCAATTTTTTGAAAATTTGATCATCCATAAACCTTCCCTGGGGTCATGTGAGGTCCCACACAAAATTTTGGCCCGATCAATTCAGCCGTTTTGACATTTATTGGATACAGACAGACAGACAAACAAACAAGCAAAGTATATATATTGAATATTGATATAGATATATATGATCGAAAAGCTTTATAAAATAGACGAGGGAATTTTCTCAAGTTTTACTTTAAAAAATTTAGGCTATCGATAGTTTCAATCTTTGTGAGTAACCCTGTAGTCACAGAGTTTTGCAGCCCCAATATCCCATATCTTCCTCTGCCTCATGCAGATCCTCAAACTTATTTTAAACTTTGTTGGAACTTCTAGTTTTCCAATACTAACTAGTAACTATGCCCAATATACTGCAAGAATATAATATTTTACTGTCAAGAGGTCAGGGTCTAACAAAGGGAGACTTCAATGAAACCCTTAAAATGAAATAAAAAGACGTACGCGCGGTTTAACGGAAATGAGTGATTGTCGCAAACTCAAATTTTCTAATCCCTATATCTTTGCAAACTTTTGCTATTTCATCAAATATAAGTCATAGATTGAAAAATATAAGCTCTACATTGGGTTGCATTGCAAAGTTATAGGAATTAAAAAATTAGAGTTTGTGGCAAAGAATCCAATCCTTTGGTCTTTTAATCATAAAAAATTACTAGGCAAAGAAAGAAACAGTTTTTTAGATGTAGAAAACCAAGAATGCATAAGAAAAAGATTTAGTAAATTCCGCACAGTCGTCTCAACTTTAAATAAACCATTTGTATCGCTCTAAAAAAATAAAAAGTATAAATAGTGATATATATTCTCTTAAATACAAATAGGAATTAAAACAATTTAAAGATGATTGGGGTACAAATCAATAACCATGCACACGATTTGTCATTTTAAGATGAGAAAGCAAAACTTTTTATCTTTTTTACAAAAATATTGCACATAATTGCTGAACCAAAGAGCTAAGGCTCTTTTATGTCAATACTGCAAACGATTGTGGATAAGTGCTAAAGAAAAAATATTTTATTTGTTTTATGAATTTACTTAATTTAAAAGTTTGTTTAAAAAATGACTTAGTTACTTTTTTTCGGAATTTCCCGAAATTTTGTGTGCAAGCAAAGCTTATTGTACCATGCCTTTAAGGTGGTTCTGAATTTGAAAGAAAAATCTTTGGCTTTAAAAATTATAATTTGTTCAGAATTCACCAATAGATTTTACCGGGAGAAAGCAAAATTTAATATTAGGAGCAACATAACAAGATAATAATACATTTTAAACAACATGAATCAAGAATTTAACAATATAATTGTAGTTTATGAAATGTACGTTAAAATCTTATGCTTAAGTACAGATTAATTTTGCATTTAAGACAATTGAGATCATGAGATTAAAAAGTAGCATTTTGTCAAATTTTAAGGTACGAAATTAAAATGGATTGTTTTGAGGGTTAAAAAATTATCGCATCATTCGTATTGCAACAAAATGTGAAAATTACAACAATAAATTCAAACATTTTTTAATTATTCCATAATTACGAATCCGTGTTTTTCTTCTATAGGTTGAGTTAAGAATAAGAATAGAATAAGACCCAGAAATTGCAGAGTAAAGTAAAAATGTAATTTTAAAATTTCTACTCAATTTTACTACTTGTGTTTGCAGCTTAAGTATTGAAATCTTTCCTGTGGCCGAATTTAAAGAATTTGAGCGGCGGTAAATATGGTTGGTTCCACTTAAAATTGTATCAAATGTTTCCAGATTTAAGCCGGCTCTTAGTTAAAACCGGGTTTTGGCAGATTTAAACCGCGACTCAAATTCTTTAAATTTCATATCTGGTTAAACGAATTTAGATATTGTCGTTATGTTTTGAAATAAATTAAATTAAAGCAGAAGTAAAGGAATTGTAGAAGTATAGTAAAAATTTACCTCAAAGCAAATTGGAAAAAGAGTTAAAGAATAATGGATCAATTTATTATAAAAAAGGACAATTTCCTGGTCCCCTTTAGTCTCTCATTCCCTTGGGAGGTTTAAAGCTAAATACCCTTGTTTTAAATTTATGTCCTATATGTTGCACTAATGGGACAAATTAAAGACAATTATCCGATTTTTTTAAGAAAAAAAATAATCGATCCATTTTTTTAAAGACTTGTTGACGGCTATTTTAGATAATGGTGCAGTTTACATGATATAGTTTAATAAGCCAATGCAGAGTATTAAAATAAGGACGAAATACATATTTCTAAAGGTTTATAATTCCTGGTAAATATTGGCCCAAGAAAGAAACTTATAAAACCCTTGAGATGATATTTAATGAAGAAAAAGTCCTTGTATTCCAGTAAAGTTTTTCCTTAGAATTAAAATAAGCATTTAGGAAAACTAAAAGAAAAAGAATTAATGGCGGTGTAGGGATATTCATTATTTATGAACCTTGTGCAATAAAGAAACTTGAATAGCTCCTGCCAGGGGGGGTGGGCATTTATTACCCCTATTGGACCTCAACAGCTAAGCAATGTATAAGAAAAGATATGGATTATATATCACGAGTATTTAAATTTCTGACAAATAAGCTGGAGTTAAAATATAAATCAATCAAAATTACTCCAAAAGAAAAAAGCACAGCTTTCCTAATTTAAGTTTCAGTTTGAAATCATAAACTAAGAACTGAGGCCATCAAGAAATATTGACTTTTTACATTAATGTGTAAATATGCAATGGGTCACATTGATAAATAGTTTACATATAATTGATGTGAGTTAAGTTTTAGTTTCATTAAATTATACATAATGTGAAGATTGGAAAAGATGATTTAATACAATAATCTGCTGAACTAGCAAATATCTGGAAAATAGCGTAAATTAAATTTAGAGTTTTAAGTATTTGTGAGGAATATTGGATTGCTATAGTAATTTTGAACTATATATAATAACAATAATGTATGTATGTACATATATTACAATTTACGTAAATTAACAGTTGATATTTCAAGTATGCGTTCCTTCACAAACAAGATTCAAATTTTAGGCATGCACTCCCGCTTTTGTAAGGCATTCTAAGTATATTTACATATTGAATAAACTTTAACTGGGAAAAGGAATAAGAATTAGTTTTGGTGAGAACATAGAAAGATGTCTCAGACAATAGGATAGGGACTTATCTCTCTAAAACAGGGGTTGTTTGAGAGGGAGGGGGGGGGGACCTTCAATAAAGAATTAATGTCAGGCTGCAGATTCCCTAAGTCCCTGGAAGTAGTCCATCAGCTGGTCGTAGTCCAGGGATCCTATGGGAACCTCGTTTAAATCTGTTGGATTCTCAGGCAATGGCATACTGTCTTGAACCGGTTCTTTCTTTGTCGTGGATTTTTGAACTTTTGAGTATGTTTTGTTGGGAGAATTATGTTCAAGGGGAGGTTCTGGTAATTCGTCAATCCGACCCAACTCGCCAGAGTCTGCCGAGCATATTGAACTTCCGTCTTCGGCGACAGATTGTTCAGACTCTTCTGTGGTATCAGCTATTGCATTCTGAAGGTATTCAAGGTTTTGGAAAACATGATTAGGACTAAGTAGTTGAGCGGGAACCGCTGGGGATTCTGAGAACGGTAAATTAAACGGATCTTTGACTCGTTTTAGCGATCCGTACCGCGGTGGGGTCCGCCGATTTATTTCTGGATTTATCGGAACATATTCCCGACTGGGACTCCACTGGGTGTTTCTTGTGGGTGTGGCAAGGGGTGGGAGGGCGCTAGCAGGTGATTGTCTGTTGAGAAGCGAGTAGGGAGGAGGTTGATCCAAATCATGCTCCTTGTTCAGATCTAGATGAAGATCTAATTCATCTGCTCCTTTTTCCATTCCTCTACCTCGACCATCAACCTGAACATTTCATTTTACATTTTTTTCATTGATTTGTCACTCCATCTTTTTATTCTCACACATTTTAAAAAAATTTAGCTATTAACAAAAAGTTAGAAAAAAAAACTGTTCATAATAATTAAATGACTTTGTGGAAAAAAAAATGTATTTTGAAGTTTTCCATGTAATATATATAAACTGTAGACTTTGTTAGAACTTTGTAACTAACCCTGTCTATTTAATCTGACTGCAAAACAAAGTTTCAGGATAGAACTCATATTTCACTCAAATATTTTATTCATTTTGGATTTTGAAAGAGTTGGCTTTTAAAATTTTCTTTCCATTTCAGCTTAACAATATAAATATTGAGAAGATATTCTTATCTTGACAGGGAGTAAATAAAGAAAAACAAAATGAGGGGGGGGGAAATGCAACTTGCTCAATTTCTCAAAGCCATATTACATGAAAAAATTTAACACTTTCTATTTTTTAGAAAGAGTAGAAATGTGTGTAGAAAAGAGAAAAACAAAATTCTTTTGATGCTGATGTGATGTGGGTTCATTCACTCTTGGCTGAGAAAAATGCAATTCCTGGGTTTGCTAAAGAGAAGAGCTAGACAAAACCAGGATATTCATGTTTCCCACAAAACCTTTCTAAGTTAAAAGTTACAAACTTTAAAACCAACAATTGTCCATATCTTTTTTATTTGATTTCTGGCTGTTAGGTCTCGAAGGATACTTAAACTGTATTTAATTAAACTGTTATATATTAAATTTGTAATTTGATATAGCTAAGATGCAAAATTTGCTAAAAGTTTCCAAGCTTATGTTACCCCCAGATTTTAACTTTATATTTCCAATTTTTTGGAGTGAAACCATATTTTTCTAAGATGATACAACACATAGCAAAGAAAAAACCTACCTGGACATTATTTCCTGTGTATGTCCCCAGGGCATGCAGGGCTTCCCAAGGATTTTGAAACCCCTGGGTTTCTGTTCTCCAGAACTCATTGGAGAATTCTTCCTGCCAGTTGCCTCCATCTTCTTCATGCCTATCCTCTTCTGCTTGCCTGTTGTTCCTGTCTCTTTCCTGCCATCTTCCCTTTTCCTGCCACTCCCCTCTGGCTTCATTATGCCAGTTTCTACTATCCTCTTCTTGCCAGTTTCCTCGTTGCCTTCCCTGCCAGTTTTCATGTTGCCGTTCCTGCCAATTGCCAGTTTCCTCCAAATCTAACCCGACTCCATCTTGCCAGTTTCCCCTGTCACCATAAATGGGGAATCCGACTGGAAGAATATCTCCCTGAAAATATAAGATAAAATAAAAGACAAAGAAATGGCAATTTTACTAATGCATGGAGAGAGGAAAAAGTATGTTACTGAATTCAAATAAAGACATATTTAAGTTCAATAAAAAGGTATGTCAAGATATTCATATTCCTCTAACTCATTGGAAAGCATAAACTATTTGTTGCAATTCACAGATTGTAAGTTGATGAAATTCTGGGTTACCTGACTAGGTTGGATAGGTCTATGTCTGGTATAGGTTGCAGAATTAATTGAGGGTCTTGAACTGCTCTGCTCGGAACCCTTGCTATGCACACTAGCTGTTGGAGACAACCCTTCTCTTTGAACCATTGGAGTAAAAGAGGATACCTCCGTCCGAACCCCGGAGCTGGATTCAGGCTTAGGCTTACTCCGAATTTTATTTTTCTTTGGTTTGGGATTTATATTTCTCCGTGGTAACTCCGCGTAGAGTTCAGGGTTTAAATCCTTTCTCAGTCTTCCCTGAGAATCAGTTTCAAGGGGATTTATTCTTAATCCTGAATTAAATTCCATCATGGGATATCCAACTGAAGGTTCAAGTCCCATCCCGAGATATCCAATGGAAGATTCGGGTCCGGATACACCAATCCTGTTCCTGGGAGAATATCCAAGTTCTGCACGTGGGTTGGGAATGATATTCATTTTTCTTCTGTACTGGTGAGACTCACCACTCCTAGAATATTTAAAATATTATTCGTTTCTTCAATATTTCATATCTGGCTTTATTGAAGGAAAAAACATATTAGGATTAGACTCACGTAAAATACCAAAATATTATAAAAATAGAAATAAAAATCTGAAACCTGATCTTGCACAAATATAAGAAAACCCGAAATGCTTCCTAATGAAAATAGTTGCAAATATATTCAGAAACCCCTTGAAATTTAAATGTACTACATTCTGAGAAGGAACAGTTTGATTGAATTATGTTGGAAGTGTGTGAGAGAATTATTCTGTCAGCTGACAGCCCATTAGACACCTAATTTGTAAAAGGGATTGTTCTACCTCATTGAACTGCTGAGCATGTCTTTGGATGCGCTGGTTCCAACAGATGATTTATCTAGGGTCTGCCGGCCATCTGATCTTCCTAACCAGACCCAATCATGTGCATTCTGAACACTTCTACTGCGTGGATGCAAATAAGTCTCCTGTTGATGTTTTGATGCATACACGAAGCATGATGCCATGAATACTGTGATAGCAATACAGAAGACCCCAAGCAGTATATACATTCCAATCTCCAGAGTAGTCGCTTCGTGTGCGTACCCATCCATGGAAGAGTCTCTAGGAAGGTACGGAGATGAATCCAACCTGCTCCGAGTATTATCGTCCCGAAGTGCAATATTGGAGAGAATTTCACTAATATCCCCCATATCTACAGACTTAATAGTTCCATTCAGCTTTCTCTCCTTCTTCCTCCTCTTCTCTTTCTTCCTGTCCCCCTTCCATCCATCCTGGGGGTTGAACAGAGAGATCGTGAGAGAGACGGGGGTGGAGGCCAGCGGGGTTTCCAGCTTGGTATGGCATTGATCTGGTAGTTCAAGTGAAACTGTGAGAAGATCACCAGAACCTGAACCCACAGCTACAACCCTGAACAGAAAAATTAATCATTATATTTTCAATTATTTTTGTTGTTNCTTTCAGAATAATTAATATTTTGATTTTCTATAATTATGAAAAATGGTTTTCAAGACATATCTGCTACCTGAAAGCAAGAAGCATGAAGAAGATAAAGAAATAAATCCAAATCTTTATATTTCTTCTAAATCCGTGGTTTGCAAAAGATTGGATTCGAATGACATTGGACAAATAAATTTAGGCATTGTCACACCTCACTTCACATGGTTTAGATTTTATATATTTACTTTCAAGAAAAGAACCAAAACAAAGGAATTGATTCTTTGCCACAAACGCAAATTTTCTAATCCCTACATCTTTTTAATTTAAGTCGGAGACCGTAGATTTTCAAAACTATGAATTCTGTTGGATCAAATATTCTAAGTTTGAAATATCTAAGGTTTACACCTTAGCTGGTTGCAAAGATATAAGGATTCGAAAATAAGGGTTTGGTTTTAAAGACTCAATTGAAAGCGCGAAACAGAAGTTATGGGAAACAAATTTAACAAACAGATGAAAATACTGAAATAGAAGGATTTATGCTCGGCGCATGGCAGAGATTGGATGGGGAACTTTTTTATTTTACAAAAATAAGTTAATTTCTTTCTCAAAGAAGACAAATTTTTGAAGTTATTACCATGTAATAAGAGATTCGGTCAATTTTTGGGAAAGGAGAAAATGGGTTTAACTTATTTTGTTGATTTAAAAGTTTCCAGCCCTGAATATATATAATATGTCTAGTGTACCTGGGGAGAGTAGAACCAACTGCTGGAGCAAAGACAACAACATCTGTATCTTTACTCTCCACAGCCAGGTAGTATTCTTCCTCCTCAACATCCCTAGATAGATAGATAGATAGATAGATAGATAGATAGATAGATAGATAGATAGATAGATAGATAGATAGATAGATAGATATTTCCCATAGTTTTTTAAGCACCACTGTGAATAAAAATTTGTAGGAAGGCTCCTATTTAAGACTGAAATCTCACTGTTTAAACGGTTTGATTGTTTAAAATTTTGTCTGAATACTTGAATGATCAAATCCAATCTCGAATTCTTCCCATCAATTTCCATCAAACCCAAACCAGATCAGAATCCCAAAGTTTTAGCAAGAAAAATTATTCTTGAGCTTCCATTTTCATAAATTTATTTATTAAGAAATGTTTTGAATTTTTTTTGATGGATAAAACTTTTTAATCTTGTCAATGTCCAATTTATATGTTACACTTCATATGATCTGTCCATATTATCCATTATAGAGCTATCAATTTCAATTTTGTACTGAGTAAACATCATATCATAAAGTCAGGATGATATTTTTTTCGGATTATGAAATAATTGTAAAAAAAACATTATGTTTCTGCTGACCATCCCTCCTGGTGAAATTTTACAAATGACATGAGGCTTTTATTTAGAAATTATACACAGTAAAAACGTCTTATGTTTTCAAATGAATCCTTAAAGGAATTGAGTCCTTGCCACAAATTCGGATTTTTTAATCCCTATATCTTTTGAACCCTATGTCTTAAACCTTTGATATTTCAAACTTATATTATTTGATCTAACAGAAGTCACAGTTTGAAATGTCAAATGTCTACAACATTAGACTGCAAAGATACAGGAATTAGAAAATCAGAGTTTGTGACAAAGACTCAATTCCTTTGTCTCTATATTACTGCATTGACAGTTCAACTACGTTACCTAGTAAGTCCCTCCTCCCTTTAAAGGGACTTTAAGCGTAATTTCAAGGAACCTTTCTTGCACAGATGGCAATAATTGATTCACAATTCATACCTAATCAGCCAACGCTTTAAAGGGTACTGTTGTCATTTCCATCTTTGCATCGAAGGGCAATTGACATTATGTGTAGAAACCCTTTAAGATATTTCATCCCCTTAGTATCCCATCTAACCTGAGTGATGTAAAGGTACCGTCTGAGAATAGAATATCTACAGCCAGCAATCCCTCCTAAAAGTAACGAAGATTGAAATAAGCGGAAAAATTATGAAGTATCAGAATTATCAAAATGATCAAAATTATCAAAAAGTGTCCAATAAGACAGAAATATATCAACCGGGAATTACAAGGTGAAAAAAAATGCAAATCAATATAGTCCCAGCTACATCAATGATATTTGAAATTTTATCGGTTAACCTGTCAAATTAGAGTGGCAGGTCGTCTTTATTTTTTACACAAAATTCCAGACAGAGCCAGATACCCTAGCCAAGTATGTATAAATAAATCCGTTACCTGATATTTAGCCATGAGTGATTCCTGTACATGCGTATGTACAGTGTATAGGGTTGGGTTTGTCTCCTGCTCCAGGGCTAGGTTGACCCCTGTAACAGACCGGACGCGTAACCCTGAAATCTTCTCCTTGCTCCGAACAACCCGAACCTCACTGCTCCCAATCACACGGCCTGATACCGGAGAAACCATCTATACAGAAAAAATTATGAAAAATCATATAAAAGGGAATTGTTAAGATAATTAAACGTAGTAACTCTAAATTTACAAGTGCCATCTTATTGCATGAAGCCCATTAAACTGGTCTTAAAGGGACTGTACAAGTAATTCTAAGTGAGCCTTCATGCGAAGATGGCAATGTCAGATTTATTTCAGAAAATGGTTCCCTGGAAACCTGATATATAATGGTTCCCTGGAAACCTGATATAAAATGGTTCCCTAGAAACCTGATATATAATGTTTCCCTGGAAACCTAATATATAATGGTTCCCTGGAAACCTGATATATAATGGTTCCCTGGAAACCTGATATATAATGATTCCCTGGAAACCTGATATATAATGGTTCCCTGAAAACCTGATATATAATGGTTCCCTGGAAACCTGATATATAATGGTTCCCTGGAAACCTGATATATAATGGTTCTCTGGAAACCTGATATATAATGGTTCCCTGGAAACCTGATATAAAATGGTTCCCTGGAAACCTGACACAATAAAGCAAGCAATGCTCAAGTCACTTTCGCAGCAAAACCACAAATGAAAATAAACAGTTTAAAAAACATGGATTTCTAATTAAATCTTGAGTTGACAAAGCTTTTTAGAGTTCCGTTGTAAATCAGGCATTATCATCTTTGCATAGAGGAGAAGGTCACTTGTTATTAAGTTGAATGAATTATAGGAAAGCCTACTGTTATTAAATTTTCAGATATCTTAAAATTCGAAACTGTAAAAAAGTTTAATACAAACTTTTGTGAGTCATTTTTTTTAATGAAGGGCCTTACCAATTAACCTGACAATCTCTTCCTTTATATTTTTCCCTTTTTACGACGTATATCTATGTTTATTTTTACAATTTTCTTCCTTACTTGTTTCAATTATGGTAAAAAGGTTAATATTTTATAAGAAAAGCTTAATTCGTTTAAATTTGGTGTTCGTGCTTAAATTTTATCTTAAGCGAAAGTACTTTTTATCCAATATTAACTATTTATAACACTGTTATTTTGGTTCGCAGTGTTATAAAGTTTTTGGACAGAACTTTTCTCTTTATAGAAAAGGTTCAAATATAATCTAAAAAAGCGAGAACCTTCGAAAAGCACGTTCGTTCCAAAATAATAGTGTTATAGGTAATTTTATGAAACGTTTGTGTACTTGGCTTATTTCAATGGCTATTTCTAGATTAAATAAGCTTTGAACCAAAGCAATTTCAATTTTATCTTTATTTCAAGCGAAAAAATTATTTCGGAAATATACAGCTAATTTAACTTTATAGCACAATAATTACTTTATAGCACGTTCATTATGAAGTTCACAATGAAGTGAGGAAGAATGATAAAGTACACAATAGTCGGAAATTGGTATCTTTTTATTCAATACAAATATATTACTGTCTCAAAACAGATGTATTATTGAAATGCATTTGTAACAGATTAAATTTTTAACATTCCTAAAGTATATGCTAGTCAAGATTCAATGGATTTCTTTGAAAATAAAATTGTAAATATACACGATACGTGTTTTGACATACAAGTTTGGGGATAATATTATGATAACTTGACATGTTATTTAGGTGTTACATACTTTATTTTTTTCCTTCAGATTTTTGTTTGTAATAATACCTAGAAAGGATGAGACTTCAGAAACTGTGCAAACTTTAGCCAGTCTTATTCAATACATCTATGGTACCCTGCACCTGTGCACCTTTTTTTCTTTTCCAAATTATTAAATTTTCCATTGAAAGGCTAAATTGATGTCACAAGACAAAATTTGCCATTCACAGAGTTTAAGGTCGTCATTAAATTATTATATCCTTAGTGCGTAACCCTGTTGGATATATATGAGATATATGAGATGTTCTTGGCTTGGCTCTTTTAACATTTTAACATAACAATTTAAAATTTGGAAAGTTGTCACATCAACTTCGTGAAATGCTCTCTGGAACGTGTCTGTGAGAAAGTACCGCACATCACCATTTGTTTACCTGAACTTCAGTGCGGCCTACGCTGACTCCCCTGAGTATACAGTTTGTTTACCTGACTCCACTGAGTACAATTTGTTTACCTGAACTTAGTGCGACCTACGCTGACTCCCCTGAGTACAGTTTGTTTACCTGAACTTCAGTGCGACCTACGCTACCTCCCCTGAGTACAATTTGTTTACCTGAACTTAGTGCGACCTACGCTGACTCCCCTGAGTACAGTTTATTTACCTGAACTTCAGTGCGACCTACGCTGACTCCCCTGAGTACAGTGCCGCGTATGTTTAGAACACGTGAGTCCTGAACACGGATTCCCTTCTTCGTAAGCTCTGTAACGTCAAGCTGGGAACCACGTGACACAAAATATTCTCTCCGCCCTGAGTCCGGATCCTCGGCTGTAAACCTGAAGATGGAAAATAAATTGATTTTCTTTATTTAAAATAAGAGATAGAGAAAGATTAACTATCTGTGATTTCAAATAATTTTTTATTTGAAGATCAAATTTCCCCCTTTTTCATTAACTGATAAAAAAATGGCTGAAAAGTTTGAACACTATTAGTTTTCCTAACATTCTCAAAATTATAACTGTTCAATATTGGACGTTTCAATTTCATAATTATTCCCACCTTGCGAAAACTTTGATTTTAGTTTGCTGAAACCGGTTTGCACAGCCTCCAACTTTAATCTTTCGCCCAGACTCCGCCGCCATATCATCTTCTGTCATCAGCTTCCATTCTTCTTCCGCCTTGGACGCTAGATCATCCTCCGCCTTGAACTTTCTTTCCTCTTCAGCCTTTATTCTACGGGTTTCATCAAGAAGATGTTTTCTATCTTCCGCCCTTGCAGTTCGTTCTTCGGACTTGTGATTGCGGATTTCCTGAAGTCCACGGTTTTCACGTGGTTTCTGTACTTCCTCCTAAAAGTTAATGTTTTATTTTTTTTTCCATTTGCAGATATATCAAAATGGATAAACTTCATTAATTTAAAGTTCATTATCCCTAATATATTCCACGGTAAATGTTTTCAATGCATCCGGAAACCCAATTTTCTTAAAATATTTTCCCAGATTTATCTTCCTGCATTTTACATGAGACAGTTATTACCTGATTTCTCCCAGTTTCGAATATTTCTTCCTTATCCGGTCCTTCAATATACTCCAGTAGTTCCATATCCTCCTTCCATACATCCTTCTCCTCCTCTTTCCATCCACTCCCTCCTGCATCTACCTCCTCCTTCTCCTCCTCCTCCTCCCCAGCAGTTGATCTTTTATGGAAGGTTCTGGAAAATATATGAATTATTAAATGTATCCTCCCCCTTGTATTCGCTCCCTCTAGGTTTCAATGGTTAGACGGAGATAATATTTTATTTACAAAGTTTTGCAATATGGAATATTTGTCTTACTTATTCCAGGTATCACTGTATATTTTATAAGACGGGGCTTTGGCGCAACTAGATGTCTTGTAAAGAGAGGTCTGTAAACTTATTAAAAAATGGATTTTAAAGTTGTGAGTGTACAGGCAAAAACGGTGTATTATATCTCCTTCTATGTTAGTTGACTGACCGTGTATAAGTTTCCAGAAAAAAAGGTTTAAAAGTTACAAAATTAGATTAGGGTTGGAATCTCAAATCAGAAAATTGGAGTTTCTTTTATTAAGAGGAGGGAAATAAGGGCTCTTCTATAGATTTGGTAAACAAGTTTCTCAATGAAGTGTTTACTATTTTTTATAGGATATATGTCGAATGAAAGTATAATTGGTTAAATGGTAATATATTTCAATATATAAAAGAGATTTAAGAAATCGGTTTAACATTTTTTTACACATATATATATATGTTGCCTGTAGCCGGCCAAACGGCTGGACAGATTGGGCTGAAATTTTTTGTAAACACTCATGGGTGGCCGTGTTAAAGGTTAAAAAAATTATTTTTTATAATTTTTTTCCACGGGCAACACTAGGCCCTTCGCTAGTTATATTTATATTTGTACTTCAAATTCAAATATTCTTCATGTTAATCACAAAAACTTTTCTCTGAAATATTTTAATTAAATTCACATTTAAGGCTCTTTGCAACCATATCTATTCTTTAAATATGTAAATATAATTCTAGGTTTAGAGATTATTCCACATTTAGAACCTGGGAGTAAAATATTGCAGAGAATTATTCACAGGATTAGTTAGATATTTATAAAATTATGAAAAGGTTTTTTTAGCACGGCCCTCAATATGAAAAGTAAATTGTTAAAGAATACAATGAAAAATTATGCGGGTTTTTCTATTTTTATTGGCGGATTTTCAAAACTTTTAAAATCGAATTTTTATGACAGTAGTGAGACGAGACGACTTGAAAGTCGTCTTTATCTTTGCGTTTTTTGTGACATTCAGTCGTCAACCTATTTTAACATGTATGATTTTGAAACAATAAAGAATTTTGTTCATATTTCAATTTTGTTAAATAAAAAAATTGCCGAAATCTGAACGAAATTCAAACGAAATCTGAACGAAATTTTTCATATTTCAAGTAATATTGAAAGCACGAAAAAGGACGACATTTTGGAATTTTAACTCTAGAATTTTACTTCTATTACTAGCAAATTATATTAAAAATCTTAGACGCGAGCTTCACGTCGTCTTGCGTCCCACGAATAAATGATTGTATTAGCTTCAAATCCAAAGAAATTAAGTCTTTGCCACAAACTAATCCCTATTTCTACTTAACCCAATGTCGTAGACCTTGGATATTTCAAACTATGATTTCTGTTATATCAAATAGTCTAAGGTTGAAAAGATATAGGGATTAGAAACTTTGAGTTTGTGAAAAAGAATCAATTCCTTTGTAAAAATATGGAATATGAATTAAAAAGGCATAAGTTATGAAATTGTTAAGTTATAATTTTGAAATTTGACAGGTAAGAATTAGAACTTGTTGAGCTAGTTATGAATTAGAAATTAGAAATATCTAATATTAGATTGCTATTGTCCTTAAAAGAATTTTATTATGTTTTTATTGATATAAATGCGGTTCAGGATAAATTTAGAATTTGTCGAGAATTTGGAAATGAAATAAATATAAATTGGAATGAACTGAGTTTATGGTTAGAAATGGAAAATAAACCCAAATAAAATCGGAAATATATAAATCTGAACGGAAACTAAAGGAGGAAAGTTTTATCGTTCTCATTCCTGATACTATTTTTTACTCTTTACTCTCAGTCCCAGCTCATGTTTTGAATGAAAAAACTAATTTCAATGGGATGAAATTCTAAAGAACCTAATCAAACTTATTTTCTCACAGAATTCCAACGAAAGAAAGGGTTACCATCCGACCCCCCCCCCTCAACCTTCTCGGGAGTTCAAAATAGTCTTAAATGAAAATACGAGTCTTTAATTCATATCATTAGATTATTTCTTTAGTCATTTAGGAGTTAAACTAAAAAGTAAAAAACTGAATGAGGGAAGATATTTCTTAAAAAAATATAAACAGAAGTTTGCACTAGTATAGTCTTGTTTATGTTCAGATAGAGCATTGGTCTCCATCTTATGCAGATCTATTTATTAATTAAATTCCTCTTTGATATCCCTAATCCATTGATCGTCATTTCGGCCCTACGACGGGGATAACTTCAGTTAAGGAATCAAGCATTGATCTTAAAATTCAGAAGTGCTCACATTGGATATTGATATTAAGCGTTCAAGATTAACAATATCAGTTCACATTTAATAAGTAAAACATTTTACTATCTGTAGTCTATTCTTTAAAAAACAGAGAATTTTTGTCTAAAAATAAAAATAAAAATATTGTCTGACCTTTCAGGCACTCTCCATCCTTCTACTAGACCCAGCTGTGTGTCAGGTATATCAAGAATGACCGGCAGCTCAGGCATCCAAACTGTAAACTCAGCTGTACCACTGTATGTACCGTACTTCACCTGTAAGGGATTCTTCACGTTATTCAAATAAATTCTTTTAAATCAAATATCAAAGATTTATTACAGGAGCTTAATGAGACTTTCGATCCCAATTTTCTAAAAAAATTTACAGATCAAATCCCGGATTTTTAAAGAAACAACAAAGAAATCTTTTTAATCAGGTACATAATGTACATTATGAATGTGATTGATATGAAATTCTTAAATCTTGTTAAAAAAAACTAACAAAACATCAAAAGTGATTGAGTTTTTGCCGCTAGCTCTGATTTTTTATCCCTATAACTCTTTAACCCAATGTCGTAAACCTTTGATATTTCAAACTATGAATTCTGTTAGATCAGATATTCTAAGTTTGAAATATCAAACATTTAAATCATCAGATTTGAAAGATTTGGAGATTAGAAATTTTTAGTTTGTGTCTAAGAACCCCTGTACTACAATGTAAATACATATTTTCATCAATAATTGTTTTATTAAAGTCAAATATTTATTTCGTAAAAGAACAGTTTAATTCTAAGATTTAACGTTTTAATCTATCTATATGTTGAAAACATACAGGCGTAATTTATGTTACGTTGTAGATAACTAAATATATATTTTAAGGTTTTTTATTGTTTTTATACGTCGTTAATGGTTTTTACAGGTTTTCTGTTTTGAATTTTTGAATTTCAACAAAAGCTACATCTGATTTGTCTTGAAATGTTAGAATAAATGAATGAATGAATTAACTGTTTGAAATTAAGGATTTAGTATGGAGTACTCTCCGAGGAGCAGGATTCATGGGAAGGTATTCAAGAAGATAATAAAATTTCACATTAAATTAAAATTGAGGTTTATTATTTCACACCTTCCTTGAAAAGTTAAAATATCAATAGAATTACTTTAAACTTGATTTTATATCTTTTTAAAATAACGAAATGTTTTGGATTTAGTTTGATGCTAATTAAACAGTTAAATGTGGTCAATGTAATTCATAAGGACACTTTAACATGTATTTTGAATCCAAAGATTTCCAAGGGTTTGTTTTTATTCTGTTAACACAAATTTAATTACTGAAATTTTCCCCAGTTTCATAAATTGTACTTTTTTCTTGCACTGTACTGTACTTAACTTTAATATATTTACTGTACTATTCAGATCAACAACATTTGTTTTTGTACTGTTCTGTACAATACTGTACAATTCTGTACAATACTGTACAATACTGTACAATCATGTACAATACTGTACAATCATGTTCAATACTGTTCAATAATGTACAATTCTGTATTATTCTGTACAATACTGTACAATCATGTACAATCATGTACAATACTGTACAATAATGTTCAATACTGTTCAATAATGTACAATTCTGTACAATACTGTACAATACTGTACAATTCTGTACAATACTTTACAATACTGTACAATACTGTACAATACTGTACAATACTGTACAATACTTTACTATTCTGTACTATTCTGTACAATTCTGTTTAATTCTGTACAAAAGTGTTCTCTAATGTACCTGTATCCTGGCTCCTAAAGCCCCCCTGGTCTCAGATCCATCCAGGTAGACAGAAGTACAGCTTGAGGAAACCTAATCAATCAATCAATTATGAATATATCGTCTAATCAATTAACAATCAATTGATCAAGGAAGTTTTCAATCAAGAAGTCAAGGTTTCAAAGAAATTTATTCCAATTTTTTGCAACCCGCTGTAGTGTAACCTTAATATTTCAAACTTTGACTGTTTGATCTTTCGGAATTCATAGTTTGGAATATGAAAGGTGTATGATAGAAGGTTGAAAAGATATAAGGATTAGGAAATTTGTGTTTGATCAGTTTCTTTAAAACATTTTCTTTTTTAAATTGGGCGTGAAAATATAAATATATCTTTGTCAAAAAAATCCAAAAAATATTTTAATAATTTGCTTACCTTGAGAGCAGAATCATCATTTGATAAACAGGAAGTGTGCAGGGTAACATCCGCAATACTTCCGGCCTGCGTTACCAGTAGAACCTTCAGGGCAGCTGATACCTGCCGTCCGGTCAGCACAGCTGTATTCACCAACTCCAAACTCTTAAATATTTTATGATATAAATATTGTTTGTGTTAAAGCGATTTTCAACATAAATTAAAGCTAAAGGAATTGAGTTTTCCCCACAAACTCTGATATTTTAATACCTCCATCTTTGCAACCCAATATCGTAGACCTTAGATATTTCAAACTATAAACTCTATTATATCAAGTAATCTAAGTTTGAAATATCAAAGGTTTACACCGCCAGGTTGCAAAGATAAAGGGAATGGAATATTCAAATTTGTGGCAAAGACTCAACTCCTTTCTTATAAAAAGTGTCAAAATTATTGACGACAATGATACCCTTTCAGCCTAAAATTAACGCGGGTGGAGTTACATTTATTTCCCGCCCCCCAAAGAAAGTTACCAGAATTCGAATTTAATCAATGTAAGCCGCGTCCCAAATCCTCCAAAAACCGGGTTCAATTGAACGCCGGCTTAAATATTGAAAAATTGAATACAATTTTATGTGGAACCAATCATGTTTGAGCCCCGGCTTAAATTTAAGCCGTTGCTCAAATTCTTTAAATTCGGCCTCAGGATTCGAATTTGGATAGCACTATGGAAATTAATGAAATAATATTGTCGATTTTCTTAAACTTAGCAAAATATCAATTTTGGTTATTTAAAAGTCATTTTAAAATAGGAAAAAATTTGAATTCAGAGTTTGATATTTTTAAATATTTTTCTCTCTTTTATTATTTTTTTTTATTAATAATTGTACGATGTGTACTTTCAAATCTAGTTTTGAAAGGGGGAGTGAGATTTTTGAGGTATTTGGGACTTGCACTTAAACCAAATCTAGTTCAACGACTTTTCAAAACTCAGGGCACACATTTTTTTGAAAAAATTTCATTTTCATTGCAGAGTTGGATTCAATTCTTAAATTGATTTTTTATAGATTTTAAAACGTTACTTATTCCTAGAATTAGTTTCATGGATCCAATATCATATTTTTGATAAGGATCAAATTACAAACAATTTGCAATTTTACATTTTCTATAATTTATGCTAGAAAAGTAATTTTTGTTGATTAAATTCAGTAATTTGACTAAACAACAAAGATTTTGTATACATTGTAAGTTAGGCTCAAGTGGTAAAGCCTATATTATATTGTACTTCTCTGACTTAGTATATTGTACTGCCTTAGTATATTGTACTGAACATATTGTATAAGTTGTTTTTAATGAAGGTAAGAACAATTTGTTTTAATTCTAATTTGAAAAGAAGTCAGTTTTTTGAGAATTTACTATTATCCAAAAGCTCTTTAACTTAGTTTTTTTAAGTGGATTTTTTAAATTAAAAAATCATCCCCTCTGGATCAGTGAAATTTATGTTTTCCAAGGGATTATATAGACCTTCCAAGTGCTAAGACCCCCCAGAAATAAATTAAACACTGTGTAAATTCTTCTGCACGCCGCAGATTCTAGAAAGAAAAAAACTAAAAAACAAAAATATAAAGAAGAACTTCTGAAAATATTTTTAGGATAGTTTTTAAATTTGTTAATCGATTATATTACGCAAACAATCACTTGAATTACATTTTTAGGTGGCGTATGGAGAGGAACGGGGGGGGGGATATTTCCACCGTCTGTTTTGTCAAATCAACAAAATAAACATAAAAGAAGAAAATATGGCGGGTATAAAAAAGAAAGTTGCAGCGCTCTGCCTGAACACTTAACAAGGTTATATTAGAGGAGAAGTATCTAGAAACTATCTAATAAACGGAGAGAACATGTTTTCTCTCGACAATAAGGATCCAGTCAGTAACAGAGTATTTTTTTCTGTACATTGGGAACCAGAGTACTTTGATTACTCTGTACAATGGGAACCAGAGTACAGGATTACTCTGTACATTGGGAACCAGAGTACTTTAATACGATTACTCTGTACAATGGGAACCAAAGTACTTTAATACGATTACTCTGTATAATGGGAACCAGAGTACTTTAAAAAGATTACTCTGTATAATGGGAACCAGAGTACTTTAATACGATTACTCTGTAACCAGAGTACTTTAATACGATTATTATATGCAATGGGAACCAGAGAAGTTAAGCTATATTATTCTGTACAATGGGAACCAGAGTACTTTAATAAGATTACTCTGTACAGTTGGAACCAGAGTACTTTAATACGATTATTATATGCAATGGGAACCAGAGAAGTTAAGCTATATTATTCTGTACAACGGGAACCAGAGAAGTTTAAGAATATTACTCTATACAATGGGAACCAGAGAAGTTTAGGAATATTCCTCTATACAATGGGAACCAGAGAAGTTTAGAAATATTACTCTATACAATGGGAACTAGAAAAATTTAGAAATATTACTCTGTACAATGGGAACCAGAAAAGTTAAGCTATATTACTCTATACAATGGGAACCAGAGAAGTTTAGGAATAATAATCTGTACAATGGGAACCAGAGAAGTTTAGGAATATTCCTCTATACAATGGGAACCAGAGAAGTTTAGAAATATTACTCTATACAATGGGAACCAGAGAAGTTTAGAAATATTACTCTGTACAATGGGAACCAGAGAAGTTTAGAAATATTACTCTATACAATGGGAACCAGAGAAGTTTAGGAATAATAATCTGTACAATGGGAACCAGAGAAGTTTAGGAATATTCCTCTATACAATGGGAACCAGAGAAGTTTAGGAATATTACTCTGTACCAGAGAACTAGAGAACCAGAGAAATTTAGAGAAAGGAAAAAAATATTAGTTTTAACACTAGGAGAGCAGGGTATTATTGTTAAGGAAAAATGAGGCCAGAAATAGACAAAACAGAGGTTATTTACAGTTAAAGAAAGGCTCAGAAGAATAAGTAAAATAAAAGAAAAACCTGACAAAACTATTCTTTTTCTATTAGGCTCGTATATTTTTAGGTTGGTTTGTTCCAAATTAATGTCAACACAGCTGAACCAATCCAACCCAATTTTTTTTTTGTGGAATCTGAATTCGATAAAATATTTGGATTAAAGATAAATTTAAAAATCCATTAAATGTGTAAATCTCCAAAATTTGTATAGGAAAAAGAAACTTAACTTTATAAAAAATGAGATTAAATTAAATTGAAAGTTATAAAATATGAAATGAGGTAAACCATAAAAATTCAAAAATGAGCCAGATGAAAAGAAATTAATATTTTAGTTTTAAGAAAATGGCAAAGGGGAAAAAAAATCATGAAAGTGGAAAACTATAATGAACTTAAGTGAAGAAAAAGAATTTAGTCTTTGCCGCAAACTCAAATGTTCTAATCCCTATATCTTTACAACCCGATGTTGTAGACTTAAACATTTCAAACTCAGAACTAAGTCAGATCAAAAAATCTAAGTTTGATATATCAAAGGTTTACACTATCAGGGTGCAAAGACATAGGGATTAAAAAATGTGATTTTGGGGCAAAAGGCTCATTTTCTTTAGCTAAATGAGAAATTTAATATAAGATTAAGAAAATAGAGATAAATTCACCAACATTAAGGAAATGCATAAAATAGAAAAAGTAAATAAAAAACATAGTGCATATGTTTTAAGAAAGTTAATAAACTGCAAGAAAGAATAATACACGATTAATATCTAGAAGTTCAGAAAAGAAAAACAAAAAAGTTTTGTACAAGTTGTCCCTGCCCAATAAAAAGATATATTGGTTTACCCAGGAATATAAAATCACAGAGAAAAAATAGAAATACCGCAATAACTTCCCATGAAAGTCCCAGGGTGTTGTAAACAGTAAACACAAAAAGTGAAAACAAATTTAAAAATGCGAGAAGAAAAGAAAAAAAATCAAAAAAAACTAAAAAGTGTACAGCGTACATATTTGGGCCAGTTGTAGTTGACAAAACTGATTCTTTGGTTAATACAGAAGAGGAATCAAATTGCTTCTGGTAAATTTTAAAACATAAAACCCGGGTTTACAGCCCATTTACGCCCGAGTAATTCATGATCCAGTTCATGATTCATGTGGCCCTGTTTGCAAAGATGAAAATGACCGATTCATAACGGTATACTTCAAGGCTTTGACTGATTAGGTATGAACCAGATATTAATGTTTATAATTTTGAAAACTCATTATTTGGAATTTGTTTATTTATACTGAAAAAAACACATAAGAATAATCAGAATTAAATACGTTTAAATCTAGAAAAACGACAATATCTTTCAGATTATTAATCAGATGAAGTTTTCAAGGGTCCCGTGTGTGGGCATTGCCATCTTTGCATGGAGATGCACTTGAAATTAGGCTTACGGTACCTTGAAACTTTTTTAACCCCAACCCAACTCTGGACTGTTTTCATAAATTACTGAAAACCACAAGCTAAAACTTGTTGGACTTTTTTATATCTGGAGCAATTTTTGACCCATGTTCCGACATTAACCAAACCCCATCCCCGACTTACTCAGCCATACTTTTTTTCGTTTGTTTAACCATAACATGTTTTGGTAAACCAGTTTCTTACAAACACATATATTTGGTAATACATATTGTTCTGCCAAAAATAGGAAATATTTTCTAAATAATACATTTTTTTGTTCTTACAGGATATATAGTATAGGACAAATTGGGATATATTATACAGGATATATAGTATAGGACAAATTGGGATATATTATACAGGATATATAGTATAGGACAAATTGGGATATATTATACAGGATATATAGTATAGGACAAATTAGGATAGGATGGGGTAAAGGACAGAATAGGAATACAGAATTGGAAAGGATAGAAGATAATTTGACAGGATAGGATAGAATTCGATTGGACAGGATCGGATTGGATTGGACAAGATAGTATTGGATTGGATAGGATAGGCTAGGGTAGATTTGGATTAGACAGGATAGGATTGGATTGGTTAGGATAAAATTAGATTGGATTGGACAGGATAGAAAAGAATTGGATCAGATTAGATAGAATTGAAATAGACTGATAGGGCATAATTGGATTGGATTACATAGGATAGAATTGGATTGGATAGAGTTGGATTGGATAGGATAGAATTGGCTTGGAAAGGATAGAATTGATTTGGAAAGGATAGAATATTATTGGATTGGACAGAATAGGATAGAATGGGAATATACAGGATAAAACATCATTGGATTGAACAGGATAAGATAAAATTGGATTGGAAAGGACAGGATAGAATTGGATTGGAAAGGACAGGATAGAATTGGATTGGAAAGGACAGGATAGAATTGGATTGGAAAGGACAGGATAGAATTGGATTGGATTTGAAAGTATGGGATAGAATTGGATTTGACAGAAGGGATAAAAGTATGGACAGGATATATATGTTTAGTTAATACATCTGCAGGATGCAGAATACTTAACTACTGCACCACAATTAATCCACATACAAGGATTGTGGTTTATACAGATACCAGGGGTTAAAAAGTTCTTCCAATTTTTTTTTTAAGCTTATTCTCAAAAAGACCCGCCGAAATGATAGGAATAATCTTAAAACGATGAAGAACATCTGCACGTTTTTCAATATGCATTTTTCATAAAAAGAGTTCCCTGTTTTTACTGTTATAGTATTTCTATATTTTATTTTTGCTTTTCAAAAACTAACTATCTGAAAAACTAACTTCTTGTATGACACCTGAGTCCGAATTTAATGAATTTTAGCCGCGTCTCAAATCCCCAAAAACCGGTTTCAATTGAGCACCGGCTTAAATCTTGAAAAATTGAATACAATTTTTAGTTGAACTAACCATATTTGAGCAGCGGCTTAAAATTCTTTAAATTCGGGGATCAAGCATTCAATTTTCCTCTCCGATATCCATGATGGTAATATACCATGCTCAGGGATAACTTTCATTGAGGGATCAAGCATTCAATTCTTCCTCTCCGATATCCGTGATGGGAATATACCATGTGCAGGGATAACTTTGATTGAGGGATCAAGCATTGATCCTCAAATTTATAAGCGCCAACATTTGAGATCAAGATCAAGCGTTCAGGATTTACAATACCGACACAAAAGTGCTTACCTCTGAAATGCCCCCAGGATAAAAAGCATCTTAAAATACAAGGAAAAGCAAACTACTACTTAGAAACTTTCCCTGCAGATTTAATGTTTCCAACAAAAATGAATTAAAGAAAGGTTAAAAAACTAAGCCCTGTAAAGTTTGTTAATATGAGAACAGACAATTTTCTTTTTCTAAGCAAACTTCTTATATTTTCTTCATCTAACTTTAACCCTTGGATTATTTCACAATGTTCACTCCGAGTGATACAATGTCGACCCAAGGTCGAAATTTTTCTGTGAGTATTGTCAATCTTAAACACAATTGATCTCAATATCCAATGTCTGCACTTTTAAATTTGAGGATTATTGATTAATTCCTAAATTAAAGTTATCTCTGCAGGGTACGACCACCACGGGATATTAAGTTACTCCCTTGGTCTGCAGAAAATGTTTGATCCCGAAATTCACTACGCAAAAGTCTAGAAAAATTGATACAAAATTCTCATAAAATGACACAAAATTTTTATAAAATGGAAGCAAAATTTTTATTTTCCATGGCTCTCAGGTATCTCTGAAATCTTTCTTTTGAACCGAAATTTCCCAAAAACGGCGCAAAAAAATCACCGAATTATTTTAGTCCTATAGTTGAGTTTCGAATGCAAAGATGATTTTTAGAGGGCGGTTGTACCCCCCCCCCCCAATCTACTAAAATTTTAGGCAACTTTTTCTTTCCCTATTCCTTCACATTTAGAAAAATTCATTCTTTTTCAGAAATTTTTCCTTTTTGACTTTATAAAACGAAATGATTTTATTATAATGTTAGGTTTAATAATATCCGGAATGGTGGAGGGGGAGGGGGGGGGGTGGTTGACAGATTCCCTTCCAACTCTTTAGAAATTCTATCTTTATAACTTATTTTCTTCGTAAATATGTTTAATAAATTCCCAGTTTGAGTTTGGGTGCACTTTTATATCTTTCTCTGGTTTAGACTTAAAGTAAAAAATACATTACGTTGATTAAATCAAAAATAATGTTCTAGCCATTTTAAATGAAATCCTCTGTTCAACAAAATAAAATAAATGATATTTTTAAGCTTGTAACTTTTGAATGCGATGTTCAGCTTCAAAAATTAACTCCTTCAATCTTAACGAAACTTAAAAATTTCACATGGATCCCGACTTCTATGAAAAGTATCATCAATTTTGAAGTGTCGCACCTGTGAATTTCATAAATAAAAAGCTCTTGTTTTTGGCTTTAGTTTTTTAGAAGTAATTGGCAAAATTAGAAGTAGTTCGCAACCTTCGGATCACAGTGATTTACTTAATAGACTTTATATTGGGATTTTTTTTGTAAAATTCGTTGAAAAAGTCTCCAAACTTTTTTGTAAAAAAGGAGTTAAATTAAGTTTTTGCAACCAACTCTATTTGTTAATCCTTATATCTTTACAACCTGATGTCGTAGACCTTTAACATTTCAAACTATAAATTCTGTTCATCAATTAGTTAAAGTTGGAAATTTCAAAGGTTTACACCAACAGATTGCAAAGATATAGTGATTCGAGTTTTTGAGTCTGTGGCAAAAACTCAGTTCTTTTAATTCTACCTTTGATATTGGTAGAACCGCCTGGACCTCGTCTTTATGGACATGTATTTTGTGGCGGAGTCTAGGACCAAGGAGAGTATTATCCGCCTCGTTATCCTCCGCCCCTCCGCCAACCTGGTATCTAACCTGCCAGGATAGCTTACAACCCTTCCAGACCTGTACAGAGAGGTCAGTTTCATAATTTCAAAAATAAAAATAAACTTTAAACAGTCTTAATCGGAAACTTTAATTTATTACACGTGGAAGAAATTCAAAAAACACTTTAAAAAACCTAATTACATTTCAAACTACAACAACATTTTTTTGTGAATTTGGGTTTAGAAAATCGCAGATCTCATAAACTTCTCATTTTTTGAGCAATTTTGTCATAAAACATTTCGATTTTAAAGAATTTTTTTGTTGCGAATTTGTTTAATTTGGTTTTTATGTATTACTAACCAATTTTCCAGTTTTATTTTGCAATTAATTCAATTAACTACTAAGAAGTATTTAATTAATGTCAATTAAACATTAAATGTTAAATACCTGTTCATCTGTATTCTCTATACCATACAAGATATTAAATATCTCAACAGGTCTAAAAATAAAAAGTTTAAGTAAATGTTTCTTCTCTACCAACGTTGCTTTTGTTAACGTTCAGTTTTTGTTTTTATTTGTCAATATTTCTTTTTATTAATTTGTTAATTGTATGTTATTGTTTTTGCTATCAATGTTTTGTTATATTTATTGTTTATGTTATTGTTAATGTTTTTGCTATCAATGTTTTGTTATATTTATTGTTTATGTTATTGTTAATGTTTTTGCTATTAGTGTTTATTGTTTATGTTATCGTTAATAAATTTGTAATTGTTTATGTTTGCATGATGCATTGAAATCCAAAAATAAAACCCTATATACGTTCCTGAAACAGAACCCTTATAAGCGTGGTTGCTGAAAGAGAACCCCAACGATCGTGGTTACTGGAAGAGAACCCCTATATGCGTGGTTCCTTGGAGAAAACCCCTATAAGCGTGGTTCCTGGAAGAGAACCCCTATAAGCGTGGTTCCTGGAAGAGAACACCTGTAAGCATGGTTTCTGGAAGAGAACACCAATAAGCGTGATTCCAGGAAGAGAACCCCTGTAAGCGTGGTTCCTGGAAGAGAACCCCTATAAGAGTAGTTCCTGGAAGAGAACACCAATATGCGTGATTCCAGGAAGAGAACCCCTTATTAAGCGTGGTTCCTGGAAGAGAACCCCTAAGAGTAGTTCCTGGAAGAGCACCCCTATAAGCGTGGTTCCTGGAAGAGAACCCCATATAAGCGTGGTTCCTGAAGGAGCCCCTACAAAGAATTTATCCATGTGTTCCATCTGATGAAAGTGTCTAAAACCTCTACAATATCAAAAACTGATAGACTAAAAAGGTGGAGTACAACTCCCAAACAAATTAAAAAAAATAAAAAGTATATGTTTTTCTTATTGTATAAGTTAACATTTTTGTCAATGTACATATACATAACAGTTTTTTCCATAGTTTACTTTTATCTTTTCATCAAAGTTTATGCCTTTGTTTATGTTAACGAAGATGTTTTAATTTATGTTTATGTTCAGGTCATTGTTTTAAGCATTTATGTCTAATTTTGTTTTGTTTTCTGCGCTTAACTCTTTGTATTTAATTTAATTTTTATGTTTATTTTGCCTTAGATTTTTTGCTTTGTTAATGTAAATGTTTATGTTTAGTTTTATGTTATGGTTTTCGGCCATTTTCTGTATATTTGTATCTAGCTAGTATGTTTTGTTGTATGCTGTATGTTGTAAGATGTTTGTGTTGAAATGAATGAAAAACTAATATAAAGTTAGATAAACAAATACATTCTACTATTCTCGGATTATAGAATGATGGGTGGGATGGTAAACTGCATCATTTCAACATTCGAGCCCCATTCGCCAAATTTTTTTCCCGAGCCACTTCTACATGCTCATTCTGTAAATTTTCCTGCCTTTTTTCTAGAATCTCGTCACACTGAATCATAAATGGAATTAGCTACATTTAGACAAATTTTAGTAAAAGCTCGATGTCCAAAATAATTCTACACATTTTTCACGCACAATCTCTTTCAATTTAAACCCTTAAACCCTAATATTATATTCAATAAACAGCACTTTCAACTTATTTGTTAGTTGCATGTCCATCGAAACCCAAAGAATGGTTTGATGTTGTTAAATTAGTTACATATAAGGCATGAAGATAGTTTGGTATTGACTTTATGTTTTGTTTCCAGCAAAAGGTTAAAAAAAATATTCAATAGTATGGGACGGGTGATGTTCTTTCAATAATGGCTCAGAAGAAAAATGAGGGGTATGTGGCTCGATTACAGAAATGATACGCCTTGCCTTCCTATCCTTTTAGAACTCTTGACTGCGGTATTAAGCTAAATTCATCACTTTTAATTAATTTTTCCCCCAACTTAATATTCTGGACTACGGAACTCATTTTCTTTATTGCTCTTTTGATGCATTTTAACCCTAAGAGGCTGGGAAATAAAGGGGGGCGTTGTTATCTGTTATCTCTTTTAAGTTCATTCTTCTCTTTTTTAATTTTTCTCTTACCAATTTTTTTTACTTCGTATTTATCCTTGAAAATGAAATATTTATATTATATACCCAACATCCTTGTATTCTCGGCTGGTGTCCCGTCTAAATGCAGTAACTGTTGCAACACTTCCTCTAGGGTTCACTTCAACCCTAGATATATTCAGGTACAGGTACAGGTACAGGTACAGGTACAGGTACAGGTACAGGTACAGGTACAGGTACAGGTACAGGTACAGGTACAGGTACAGGTACAGGTACAGGTACAGGTACAGGTACAGGTACAAGTACAGGTAAGAACCAAAAAATCATTGAGTTTTGAAAAAAGTTATGGATTTAAAAAGTTCTGGAACAATCTATTTGGGATATATACGTACATAAATTATGAATATTCAGAATACATTAAATAATCATAAATGTATAAAATATTCAGCTTATATAGAAACATCATTATTAAACCAAGTAATATAAAATAAATGCTAATGATGGTGTTCAGTAATTGAAACCATTTTTATCCCATTAAATATTTATAAAAACGTGGTTTGCAAAAAAGCAGACATTAAACATAAACTTTTAATGTTCATATTTATCATTCTTCTAATCCTTATTTTCCCAACTTAAAAGAATAAGAAAGACAATTTTATTAATGCTAAAAGATCTTAAAAGATGATAAGATTGCCAAATAATGACTCACTTAGGAACCCTTAACATGTTAAATTTACAGCGAAAAAAGATCTATAAAAATGGGCCAATCGCAGCTTTAATGGAAGCCTGTTTTGATTTTCTACAATAAAGACAAGTAGGAAAATAGCCAACAAATTTCCCATTCAGAATTCTAAGTTTAGCGGATATTGTTGTTGATTAATTTTACAACTTTATAGTTAATTAAGTCATGTAATTTTCACTGACAATACATTTCTGCATAAACATATAATTTGGTTTCAAGAAGTGCTTACATTCACTTCTGTATAATTTAATCTTATTACATAACAAACACAGTCAGGGGAAAAACAGTTGCGTATTTTTAATGAATCTTCCAATTGAATAACTTATTTTATTTCGAAAGATATCACTTTATAGAAAACTTATTGATTTTGATGATAAAATTTTCTAAAAAAAAATGAAATAAAGAGAATGTTACAATTACCTAATATTCCAATCTTTTGATGCCTCCTCAACACCCAGTATTCGAACTCCCTTTTTAGCCTCAGCTCTAACCACCACCACGCCCACTAGCCCACTTGGTCCGGTGGAACGCCCACTTGGCCCGGAGGAACGCCCTCCTGATCCGGAGGAACGCCCCTCCCTGGTTCCCTCGGGTCGGGGTTGTTCTATAAAGACCGGGACAAAAAGTTTAGATCCCGGATAAACCGGAGTCTGTGGAACCAGAAGGTGGAGTATCTCATCCTCTGCAAATACGGATTCTTTAAGAATTTTTTTTTAATTATGAACTATAAACATAATTATGTACTTACGGGGAGGCTTTGGGGCTCAGTCCCCCCCCCCCCCCGGGATAAGTAAAATCTGCAATTGAGACAAGAAAAAAATTTAAAGGAAATGTACATGTAACGACATGGGATGAACCTCATCTTTTCGATTAGTCTGTCTTTCCCTACTGGAATCATGGAACCGGATGGTTTGAGAAATTGTTTATCTATTCAGGTTTCAGCTAAATCATTGTTAATTAAGTAAATTTTGTTTACATTTACTGACGGATTTTTTATTCAACTCCCAATGGCGTATTAGAGAGAGAATATAAAATCCTTTCATGTTAAATTAACCCCCCCCCTCCCCCCCCTGTCTTTTGTATTGTAGAAATACATTTTTGAAAACCTTGCACTACCATTCAAACACATACAAAGAATTTTATTTGATTAAAACCCTTACTTGGGGAAAAGAACTTATTTTGTAACGTGCTTGTATTTTACTAAATCTTACAGTCAAACAGTACTATAGGAAGGAAACTGATTTTTTTAAATCATTTTTTTTATCTGTTTTTAGATTTTAGTTGTCAAACACATCCAATTCTTTTTTATTAATTTCTTTATAAACTGTTGTGGATTTCATTTTATCCCTGGAGTTAATCTTAAATCCTTGAATCTAACAGTTTCGAGCTTTGAATATTGTTGAGTTTGTGTGGCAAAGCACAATCATAATCACTCATAATGTTGAGAACACTATGAAAACTATTGTTTTGAATCTTAATGACAGAAACAAATCTCAAGAACTGAATAGGATTAACCCCGACCGAAAAATAGTTTCAAAAAGTGTGGAACTAAAACCTATACTTTATTTACTCTATGAGGTTGGGATCATCATAATCACCAAAGGAGTTATTGCCACAAAATCTAATTTGTTAACACCTATATCATTGGAACCCAATATCGTAAAGCTTACAGATATTTTAACAACGAATTTTGTCAGATCAAATAATCTAAGTTTGAAATATCAAAAGTTTACACCGTTAGTTTGCAAAGATATAGGTATTGGAAAATTTGAGTTTGTGGCAATTGACTCAATTCTTTTTAAAAGAAAACTATTAAGTTATGAATTAGACCATATGATGTGCATTAAGGTGTCCACACTGATAACCAATTTTTAAAAAAGATGCGCGCGGTAGCTTTTCCTATTCTAATATGTACCGTGAAAACTTTAGGATTTAATTGCTGCTAAAGTTTGAAAAAGACCAAAAGTCCACAGCTCCAAAATATTTTTTCTTGAATTTATCATGTCACATGTCATTTTCTTCGTAATTTTCCAGAAAGCTGAAATCCGTTCAAATTAAAAAAATTAAAATTAACTTAACAAAATCTTTTCTAAAAAACAAGCATTTTTGACGGTTTTTTAGACATGACTCATTTATTTTAATTTCATGAAATTTTTTTTTACTTTCTTTAGCATTATTAAAAACTTAATAGCGATTATCTCCTAGAATTCAAGAGGTGTTGACCTCAAATTTTCAGAAATTAATCACAATATGAATGCAGAGGAAAAAGTTACCGTGCTCATCGCGCTCGTAAATTTTTAAAATTAGTAATAATTTGTGTACAGTGAACACCTTGTTAGTTTTTGGGTCGTTTTTTTGCCTGTATTTTCTTTCAGGGTCAAATTAGTGTAAGAGAAGCAAATGTGTTTTAATTGTTTATTCTTACACTATGCACAAATTTTGACCCTGCAAAAAACTATCAAATAAAGTTGCATCAAATTAAAGAAAAGATATAAAGTTTTAGAAAATTATATTTTGAGGCAAATGTTCAGTTTTTTTATTATATTACCCCCTTAAAAGTCTACAACCCTTCGGGTAGACAGCTAATGAGTAATGAGCTTGTTGTGCTAGGAAAAAAACTTTAGAGTATAGTCTTCTAAAAAGTTGTGATTAAGCAGAAAACAAGAAGAGAATCTCAAAGTTTTCTAAAAGTCCGCTAAGGACACATGTTCTTGTATTCTGGTATTATCTTATTTTAAACTCCAGCTATGTAGCAAGTTTTCCAATAGAATATAAATAGGAGAATACACAAAACAATACACATTTTACACAACAACACATTATATAAATAGAAACTAGAACAAATAGTTTCAAGTCAACCTCCTTTTACATACAGGCATATCCCATACACAATGGCACCTTTCAATGCTTTTTTTGAGCAAAAAAGTTTGGTTTCTCTGTAAACGACCTGTTTCTTGCTAAAAAAAAGCTTCAGAGTAAAATGTGAGGGTTAAACTAATTTGAAGCTCGGAAAAAAGGCCAAATCTTCAAAATCTTTAAATCAGATAATGGTTGAAAGGGTAACATTGTAAATCAAGCGTGTTCAAATCAAATTTAAGAAAATGCTTTGAACTTGTTACGAAAAAAATCCATGAAAAAGATGATTTCTCAATTTCATGTTAGATACAAATATGTTATCGAAAAAGTGGTAAATAAATGTTTTAAAATATTTGTATAAAATTTGTGTAAAGCTGACTTATCACTGTTTGGAGAGAAAACAGAATAAATCCTTTCTTCAGGTTCATAACATACATATTGCTTTTTTATTAAATATATTATTCCTTAGCGTTGAGATAAATCTGAATGAAGGTATTAGGACAATAATAAACACAAAGAGATATTTATGTAAAGAGTGAGAATGAAGATTATATAATCCGTAAAAACTAATTAGTTTTAAAAAGTTTTGTCGCCCGTTGACAACGATTTGAACATTTAATACGTATGATTTTGAATTTAGAATTTAACTAAAAAGTAATTTTATCAGCCTATAACACAAGAACGAAACTTTAAAAAAAATGTTAGTAAAAAAGAAAAAAGAAAAATGAAAAAAAAGAGAAAAAGATGGAAAGATATAGAAAGTAAAAATAAAAAGGAAATTGCAATTTTTCTACAGATTGTTGGTTCTAAATATGTCGAATGCAAATAAATGTCAAAACAGCTGAACCTATTAGAATCAAATATTTGTATATTATATATACATTATATTAACTTTATATATACTTTATATATAAAATAGTGTTAATTTAATTTTGAAATATATATGTATGCATATTAAATCCTGCAATAAATTAGAGGCTTAATCTTAGGAATTACTGTTTAGGGCTTTATATAGCATAACTTAACCCTTTACATTACTCAATGTCAGATATAATATATAAAATATGAACTATAAAATATAAAATATAAAATATAAAATATAAAATATAAAATATAAAATATAACATATAAAATATAAAATATAAAATATAAAATATTATAAAATATAAAATGTAAAATATAAAAATGAGTTATCGCAAAATTAAAGCAAACATGAAAACTAAAGAATACAGTCAATCCTAAACATGTGAATATTTTAATTTAGCTTTAAATTTAATTGTTAATGCTATTATTACGTAAATTGTGTAGAGTTTACTGGACCTGTTGGTGAATATTCATAATTTTACAAATCTAAAGCTGGAGTTTTTTTCAATTTTAAACTATCCATGGGTTCGGTGATGTAAATAAAAAAGTTGGCGGCCCAATCAGTTTATCTGAGATGTTTATTGCATAAATTGCCAACGTAAAATCTTCAATTTATTTCTACAAGACAAATGAGAATCTCAAATATTTTCTGAAAAATGATTTTAATTTGTGAAAAGAGTGCTCTCCTTGTAGTTGAGATATTTGAAAGATAGAACTCTATCATTGCTCAATCCGGCAGCATTAATCTTATTCTGTTCGGAGAGTAATCTAAACTTTCAAATCCCATCTGTAGACAAACCAAGGGGTTTGGAATATTTTACAAAGGAATTGACTCTTTGCAACATACTAGTAGTACTAGTAGTAGTAATAGTAGTAGTAGTACTAGTGGTAGTACTAGTGGTAGTATTCAAATCCCATCGGTAGACAAACCAAGGGGTTTGAAATATTTTACAAAGGAATTGACTCAATGCAACAAACTCTGCTTTTCTAATCCCTATATCTTTGGATTCCAACGTCGTAAACCTTTGAAATTTCAAACTATGACTTTTGTTAGATCAAAAAATATAAGTTTGATTTATCAAAGGTTTACGACATTGGGTTCCAAAGATATTGGGATTAGAAAATCAGAGTTTGTGGCAAAGAGTCAATTCCTTTTACAAAAAAAGTTTTAAAATATTTGTTATAGCCTTGTAATTTTCTAGAGAATTGGAATGGATTTTATAGATTATAAATATCCCTGAAATGGAATTTATTCTAGAAGAGTATTTTAGGAATCATATCCCCGAGTCCTTCTACATAGTTTGATTTTATATATTTGTCACGAGGCTTTGATTTATTTGGCTTTTAAGCTGCATATTTGTTTATAAAGTGCACTAAGGAAATGGGGTCTGAATTAACAAACTTTTTTGTTTACAGCATTAACGAACAGCTAATTTTTGTCCATTAATATTAAAATTTAGTTGAAAGCAAACTCTGATTTTCTAATTACTACATCTAGCTGTGCAACCCAATGTCTTAGGTCTTAGAAATATCAAAAGTTTTCATCATCAGATTGAAGAGATAGAGCGATTATAAAAGACCCAAAGACCCAATTCCTTTAGACTCCATGAGACTTGAGCGTATTATTAAATTTGTATGTGTTTAAAATAGAATCTAACGTCGGTGTACTTGTTTGATATAAACCCTTCTTACCCCCCTCTCCCTCTTTATTCTCTGGTAGTGGTATTTAACCTTATCTTAACAGTCATAAACCTCTAAAACCATTTTCCTAATCTTCATGAAAGAAAATATATACTTTCAATATTTAATATTTATGCACCAACTGGGCAGCAAAGTTAAGAATGCATCCATACATTTTAAAGGGTTTGCTGATTCTATTCACAAGGAACCCTCAATTTAAAGAGTTAAAAATATAATACCCAATAAGCCTTAGTAAACATTAGGTATTGACGTTTTTCTATAATTAAAAAATATAAATTCTTTCGATTTTATTCCCTGTCTTTATTGCATAAATCTGCAAGTCCCTTTTATAGAAAACCCACAATTTCATATTATCAATATTTAAAAAAAAACATGGATATATCAATCATTTTTGCTGAGACAAAGGTTAAAAGAAGGGTTACTCAAGATTACGTCGTTACTCCCTTTCAAATGGAAAAATTAAGAACCATTGAGGTTTTTTCAACACCCTTTAACTTCTGGAAATAAAGAATTACGCTGGTAATTCCTTTAATTACTGAAATATATGAATTAATAATAAATGCAGAATGAATAAATCTATTGTTAGAGAGCCCAATTTTTTCTGTAGATTAATGTTCATTGTTCAATGTTCATTGTTCACACAAAAGCAGTGCAAACAAACCTAAACTGCTATAAGGTTTGTTTAGTGTAGATAATACAAGAATTGTGTTTTCCACCAATTATTGGATAATACTTAAGTCCCACATTAAAGAGCTCTATTCACTTTTATACCGCGGAAAGAAAAAGTATTTACTAAAATGTTGCTAATATAGCTGGCCTGCTCACATTTATAATTATATAGCTGGCCTGCTCACATTTATAATTATATAGCTGGCCTGCTCACATTTATAATTATATAGCTGGCCTGCTCACATTTATAATTATATAGCTGGCCTGCTCACATTTATAATTATATAGCTGGCCTGCTCACATTTATAATTATATAGCTGGCCTGCTCACATTTATAATTATAAAATCTTAAACAAGTTTGAAGGACGAGAATCAGAAAATGTGTGTTTAAAAGTTTAAAAGTAAAGAAAACATAGAACTTCAGAAAAGGACACTCGAAAGGGGAGACAAGAACTGTAATGTTCCAGGAGGGGATTTTGCATTATTTTATTTAAAATGTTGTATTTTAAAGAATCTGTGCCTGCTATTTGTCTGTAGCCCGCCTGACCAGTGCTAAGTAAAACGGTGCCAAGTTCTCTGCTTGCTCTAGGTCCCTCCTAAAACACGAGAACAGGTTGACAAATATGTCCCAGTATACCTGTATGTCCCAATATACCTGTATGTCCCTGTATACCTGTTTGTCCCTGTATACCTGTATGTCCCTGTATACCTGTATGTCCCAATATACCTGTATGTCCCTGTATACCTGTATATCTCATTATACCTTTATGTCCCTGTTTACCTGTTTGTCCCTGTATACCTGTATGTCCCTGTATACATGTATGTTCCAATATACCTGTATGTCCCTCTATACCTGTATATCCCACTATACCTGTATGTCCCTGTATACCTGTATATCCCATTATACCTTTATGTCCCTGTATACCTGTTTGTCCCTGTATACCTGTATGTCCCTCTAAACCTTTATGTTCCTGTATACCTGTATGTCCCTGTATACATGTATGTCCCTCTATACCTTTATGTCCCTGTATACCTGTACGTCCCTGTATACCTATATATCCCATTAAACCTTTATGTCTCTGTATACCTGTATATCCCATTAAACCTTTATGTCCCTGTATACCTGTTTGTCCCTGTATACATGTATGTCCCTCCATACCTTTATGTCCCTGTATACCTGTAGGTCCCATTATACCTGTATGTCCCTGTATATATGTATGTCCCTCTATACCTTTATGTCCCTGTATACCTGTATGTCCCTGCATACCTGTATGTCCCTGTATACCTGTATGTCTCAGTATACCTGTATGTCCCTGTATAACTGTATGTCCCTGTATACATGTATGTCCCTCCATACCTTTATGTCCCTGTATACCTGTATGTCCCATTATACCTGTGTTTTCCATTATACCTGTATGTCCCTGTATATATGTATGTCCCTCTATACCTTTATGTCCCTGTATACCTGTATGTCCCTGTATACATGTATGTCCCTCTATACCTGTATGTCCCTGTATACCTGTATGTCCCTGTATACCTTTATGTCCCTATATACCTGTATGTCCCTGTATACCTGTATGTCCCTATATACCTGTATGTCCCTGTATACATGTATGTCCCTGTATACCTGAATGTCCCTGTATACCTGAATGTCCCTGTATACTTGTATGTCCCTATATACCTGTATGTCCCTGTATACCTGTATGTCCCTGTATACCTGTATGTCCCTGTATACCTGAATGTCCCTGTATACCTGTATGTCCCTGTATACATGTATGTTCTGTATACCTGTATGTCCCTGTATACATGTATGTCCCTGTATACCTTTATGTCCCTGTATACCTGAATGTCCCTGTATACATGTATGTCCCTGTATACCTGTATGTCCCTGTATACCTGAATGTCCCTGTATACCTGTATGTCCCTGTATACCTGTATGTCCCTGTATACCTGAATGTCCCTGTATACCTGTATGTCCCTGTATACATGTATGTCCCTGTATACCTTTATGTCCCTCTATACCTGTATATCCCTGTATACCTGAATGTCCCCGGAGCAGGAATGAAGGATTGAGAAGAAAACTCTAACTGTTGGTTTTGGTTGTTTTCCAACCTAAACAAAATAATTGAGTCAGATATTTATGAAAGTACATATTTTCCTCTTCTCCCCTCCTTTCCCATCCTTATATTTTTATCTCAGAAAATATTTATGAAAGATATTTTATTTGATTTGAGGGAAAATTGTCGTCTCTTAAGACATAAAAGTAGATTTAAAAGCTGTAATATTATTTTCAACTTCTTTTCAACTTCCTCTCTTTCTATGAAGCCGAGGCAGGAAGAAAAAAGAACATATTTTCCGGAAAAAAATATTCATTAAAAAGAAAAAAAAAACAGTTCTTAGATATATCCCTCCACCTCCCCCTTTCCATATTTTATTGGTTTTTCCGAAGAAAATCTTTAAGATTCCGCCTGAAGGTGAATAAAAATACTTTTTACTTGAAATTCCTAAAAATATAAATTCCTCAATAAAAAAAGCCAAGCTTCATAGTTAGTATATTAAGATTTATACGGATTATTATAATTAAAGTGAGAACCAGAAAACAGTGGAATTCACGTCGTCTTTTTCTTCGATTATAGATGTCTCCAGAAATGATTATAGATGTCTCTAGAAATTTTCTAATTGGAAACTGAACATTTTTCTAAAAAGCTTCCTACACATTTTTATGGATATTGGATATATCAGTTGCAATAATTATAAATTTCAATTTCTCAAGTTAAAAGAAAACAAAAACAACATTCTTCCCAGAAGAATCCAATATAAGAACCACAATGAATGTTTTTTTTTACTCCACTCGACCTTTTATATGACAATACATATTAAAGAAATGTTCTTGAACTTTTTAAAAAATCATTTTTTTTCTCTTTTTCTAACCGCTCTGTTTCTCTAAAAATAATCTTAAAGGGATTATTCACTTTTAATTCTCTAATTTTTGGAACCTAACTCAACTTTGATGTTTCCTCCTTTTCTTACTTCATGCTTATTCCCTTTAATAACAAATATCTTTACCTTGGCGGTAAACGAAGGCCACCAAGATGATGGGATTGTAAGTTCACCGAGAAAGTTTTCTTCATCGCCTAAAAAAATATCAGATATTTTTTTTCGAAAATAATCCGCCCAAATTAAATATTCTGAAATTTTCCGGGATTTATTTTTTCTAAACTTATCACGCAACCTCTGAGGTTTCTATTTAAATACGTCTCAGGTTCAACTCTCGAGACTAAGTTGTCATAAAAACTGAAATAAAGCTCGAGTCTTAAAATAATTTGTTTGGAACATGTTGAGCCTAATAAAAAATCCAGTAAATCACTCACAAAGTTGGATCTAACTTTGAACTTGAGAGTTTAGACTTAAGCTTTAAAATCACAGTTTTAACATCTGTGTTGAGAATCAAGCATTGATCCCGAGTTTTAACTTCGATTCTGTGAATCAAGCATTGATCCCGAGTTTTAACTTCTGTGTTGAGAATCAAGCATTGATCCCGAGTTTTAACTTTTGTGTTGAGAATCAAGGATTGATCCCGATTTTTAACCTTTGTGCTGTGAATCTCAGGATCAAGCATTGATATCCATTCTTCTCAATATTCCGTGGGCCGTGCAGGGATAACTTGAATTGAGGGATCAAGCATTGATTCTCAAATAATTTCATTGAATATCCAGATCAAGTGTTCAGATTAACGTTATCCACACTCTTTATTTCTTAACGTTCTGCACTTAAAACAAACATTTAGCTGATTTCTCAAACTTTGGCAATTTCGTTGATACATCTGTTCAGACTTATTTCAGTTTTTAACAATAATAAAAGAACAGCTTTTTTTGAGAATACAGGTTAAAATACTTAAAGATCAATATTTTAGCAAAGGAGTTGGGTCTTTGTCACAAACTCTGACTTTTCTAATCCCTATTTTCTAATCTTTGCAACCTATTGATGTAGACCTTAGATATTTCAAACGATGAATTATGTTAGATCAAGTAATCTAAATTTGAAATATAAAAGGTTTACAATATCAGATTGCAAAGATATAGGGATTTACAAATTTTAGTTTGTGGCAAAGATTCCTTTTACCATTTTTGAGAATTGCAATATTTCAGATTTTAAGAGAAAGCTCATTTTTAAACTTGGAAGATAAATGATACCAAAATATTAGGCATTTTTGAGGCGCCAGCATATTTTCCTTGGCCAAGAATTAGATTGAAAAGTGCCACCATTAAAGTTACAGCTTAGGTTTGTATATTTCCAAGAACAGCGTATATAGTGTGTACTTGGACACTTTGTGGTGAACTTAATGTTCCACCAAACCCCAGGGAAATTCTTAAACATAAATTTAAGCTGTAGACAAGAAAAAGAACACATGATACCTTAAAGACAATATTAAAAATTTAAGCTTCACTATTTTTTGTAATTATATGATAACTACTGAAATAAAAATTGTGGGAAAGAACTTCATAAACCTGAAATAAGTTTCCCGTTCAAATAGCGAGATGGAAGAAAAGACAGATAAAAAATAGTTAAAAATATTTAGATGGTAAATTGTAGATATATATTAGATCTCTTTTTGTTTAGACAGAAAGATCGATAAATATAGAGATAGATGAGTTTATTTTCTAAAAATCTGAAAGTGTAGGTGTAGATGAATAAGTGGTTGTTAGATTTAAACCACAAGTATTTATCAACAGTTGTCAAATATTGAAAGAAAAATTAGCAAAAAATCTAGGAATCAAATTTGTTTAGAAAAAGTAGATATAGGACTATTTTCCTTTAAGCAGAATGATTAATGACTAAAGAGATATATTAGTTTACTTTATAAAAATCTGAAGGTGTAGGTGTGGATAAAGAAGTGGTGGTTGGATTTAAACCACAAGTATTTATCAGCAATTGTCAAATATTGAAAGAAAAATTAGCAAAAATATAATATGAAAGGAGAACAAAAGCAGGGAAATAATATACATGGCGGATAAAAATACAAGGCTAAAATATGCAGGAGGGAGAATAAAACAGGGATGAAATATATGGACGAAGACTAAAAAACAGGAATATGAAAATACTAGTTTAAAACCCCAGCTATAACTGGAAACTGTACTTTCCCTAAAACTAATGAACCCACTGAACTTAGAATATTTAAACCTATGCTAAGAACATTCATATGGTTCTTCCGAGTACCCCCAATCAAAATTTGAGGCAAATCAGTCAAAGGTGTTTCAGACTCATAATCGGACATACAAACGAACAAACAGAGATTATTACTTTATATATACAGAAACTGGGAGGATCAAATTTACAGGGATATAATGTACAGGGGTATAAAGGTTTTAAATTGATCAAGGTGCCTAGATGAGCTGAGAAATCCACCAGGAAGGGTTTAGAGAGGGTTGGAACATCCTTCTCCGTATCCTAAAAACCAAGGGTTAAGCTTATCATTCGTTGAATAGCACAGAATAACGTAAAGATGGTGTTAGGGTGTTAGGTTCTTTTCCAAAGGCCTTTTCCCAAGAGCAACTTCCCAAATGTGCAATTTAAGGTTACTAGCCTTAGAGGGCGCTTCGCGCCCATCTTCTAAATTAATTGTGAACATGTTCTCTTTGTGTACATCGTAAAACAAAACAAATATAATTCGCGGATTTTCACAAAAAAATTCGTGGATATTCAAAATTTTCAAAAATTTAATGAAGATCGAATTTTGATGGAGACAAATATTTGAAATTTTGATCATTTACAAACCTTCCCTGTGGTCACGTGATGTCCAACACAAAATTTGGGCCCGATCGGTTCAGCCGTTTTGACGTCTATTGGATACAAACAAACAAACAAACAAACAGACAGACAAGCCAAATTTATATATAGAAGTTAGGCCTTCTGAGGCGCAGCACGGTGTAATGGGTGGCCAAACGGTGACGCAAAAATATGCTGGGGGCCGAGCGCTGAGGCTAGAGCAGACTTAAGAAGTCTCCACTTGAGAAGTTCCCGCGTGGGATATTGCACATTTGGGAAGTTGCAGATTTGGAAAGTTGCCATTTGGGAAAAACCCGTGGTAAGTTGCAGCTTGGGAATTTAATGCCTTTGGGAAAGTACCTAAAATCGAAAAGATATCTTTATAGGATGAAAGAATAGAAAAAAATATAAAACCTAAGTTAAAAGAAAATTAAAGGAAGTGATCTAATTATAAAAAAGAAATAAAGAAAAACAGAGAAACTAATAGAAAACAAGGATCCCAAAGAAAGATTTTAAAAAACCTGAATATCCTTTAAACTGCATGAATATTTTTTGTTACTTATATCAATTGTTACTTATATTGAATATTATTCATTTATTTTGTTACTCATATAAATTGTAATTATATCTTATTCTAATGCTATTTTACATTTTGCTATTATATCATTTGTTATTATATCTTCTGTTACTGACCCCAAAATCCCCCCCGCGCCTCTCCTGTAATCTTCCACTGAAATTATGTAGTTTTTTACTCTCTTCGTTGAACAATGCTTTCTTTATCAACATTATTGTCCATTGTTCAATATAAATGAATATAATATAATAGTCTGCGAGTAGAAAACAGTTTCATTATTTACATGTTTAGAGTTTACAAAGAACAACACGGGAGAAGGAGAGAAAAAAGGGCAAAGGAGAGAAAAAAGGGCAAAGGAGGAATAAACGGAGGAAGCCATGGGGAAAAGAAGCAAAGAGGGGAAAGGGCGGATTGGATGGAGCGAGGAGGGGTGGGGAAGGAGGGGGAAACGGGAAGGAGAAGGAAACGGGAAGGAGGAAGAACGGGGAAGTAGAAAGAAGTTGAGGGGATGGATTGAATGGATAGATAAGAAAGGAGGAGAGGGGAGAGGGAAGGAGAAAGGATAGATTGGATGGAGGGAGAAGGACCATGGATGGAAAAGGATTTGGTCGAAATGGAGGGAACAAGAAGGATAAAGATTTACATCGTATTGAGGGGAAGGGAAAGGAGGGAATGGGGTGAGATGGAAGTAGAAGGAAGAGAATTTATTAGATGGAGAGAGGGAGATGGATTTGATGGAGAAATGAGGGAAGGAGCAAGATTGGAGGAAATGGATTTGAAGTGGAACAAGAAAGGAGGGGGGGGGGGGGTGACGGATGAAATAAAGGGAAAAGAGAGGGAAGGATGGATTGAATCGATAGAGGAGGAGCAATGAGGGCAGAGGGAAAGGAGAAAGGAACAAACAACACGGGGGAGCAAATATTATGAAGGATAAAATAAAATGAAACAAATGATTGATACCAGACTTAAATCGACTCTAACGGATAAAAAACGATGATTGATAGGAAAGAAATGAATGATAAGATATGATAAAGTTTAAAAAGAAGAACTGATGGATAAGAAAACAATAAAGAGAAAGATATGTGAATGAGAAAGGAAACAAAGATGAATGTATAAATGTGATAATGGAGAAAATTAAAATGAGAATAGGAAAACAGTGATAAAGATAGATATATGTAAAGATGTCAATTGGAAAAATTACAAGCATAAGACAGAGAAAAATCAATTGTGAAACAAAAGATATAAATTAATTCAATAATAAATATCTAAATTAAAAGCCTTTTAGTGCAATACAGTCTTTATTTTGACGTTGGATGAATTTTTTTATTGATTTCAATAACAAGCCCTCCTTACCAGCTGGTAGCTTATTAAAATAAGTAAATGTATGTTAGCTAGCAAGATAGATTGATAGAATAAAATTAGACGAATACTTACCAGTTCGTTAATATCAGCAGAATCTGCAGAGAATTTGTTTACAGTTTGTCGGCTGGTGAACGGTCCGTAGCTAGCACTGAAACAAAAACAGTTTTTGCAGGTCAGCAGCTTCTGTTTCTGGTTTGCAAACTTTTTTTCAGTTGGTCGGTAACTTTTGTCATATGTCGTTTTTTTCGGGTCGTTATTTTTTGTTTTGTGTCAGTAACTTTTGCTTTGGGTCCGTAAGTTTTGTTTTGGATCAGTAACTTTTATTCTGGGTCAGTAATTTTTGTTTCGGGTCAGTAACTTTTATTCTGGGTCAGTAATTTTTGTTTTGGGTCAGTAACTTTTGTGTCGATCGGGTCAGTAATTTTTAT